ACACAGTGATGGTCCCATTTCTAGTCACACACCTGTCTGTTATAGGCACAACCATGTTTGCACAAATTTAATGACAGGAGGGAATGAAAATGCTCTGAGTCTTTGGGGTGATTGGAGAATTAGACAATTAGCCAAGAATGGACTTGAATGAAGCACCTGCCTTAATTGGTGAAATATACCCATTCCTAGTCAAGATGACGGGCATGTGGGCAAGCCAAGTCAACGAGGGGAACAGTGGTGCCTCAAAAACGTCTGGAAAGGCAGAACTGTGGTGTGAAGTGTGTTTCCTGAGTCAGGGTGATGGGTGTACAGTTTACTTGGAATGGACTAACCTGTCTGGGCGCACGCCATGAGATCTCTCTTGCCCTTGATGATTGGGATGGCATACTGCTGAACGGGGGTGGGGCTGGTGTAGTTACTCAGTGTGATGTTGTTGTTGATGATTTCCCCAAGATTGATGTCTGTAAACTGGAGGGCAGGGGGAAAAAAACGGGTAGGGTCCGATCACATCAAGCAACTGATAAATAAAACGTCGTCGTTACAAGATGCTTGGGATACAAAGCTTGACTACAGCAACAACGAGAAGCAACATCTAGAGACAAACAGGCTTCAATTCAGACTGCTGAGCTGTTCAAGAACTACAAGGGCCACAAAGTATAAGTTGTCAACCCTGTATTTCTCCTCTAGGTGTCTTTCTGATCATTAGTAAATCAACACATAGCATCTGTGCAGTTGAGACTGCTTCAAGGTCTCGCTTAGAGGGTTGGATTTGAGAGGTTCTGATTGGCCATGGCTGACAGCCAGTGGCCTTGTTGGGTGACTTTTTGTCTAGCTCGGTGGCTAGGTTGAAGAAGTTCAGCATGAGCAAACTCACGTCAGTGATCTTGTCTGGAATGTCCTCTCCGGTTGCTTTCACTGGGATATCCTTATACTTGTCAAAGTTGATGCCGGTGTTGGAAGATCCAAACAGATCCCTGTGAATTGGAAACAAAACTTGGCTGTTGCTTTCAACAGGGCCAACTTACACGGCACTGCTGAACTCACAAATGTTTAACGCTAAGAGAGGCTTTGCCTATTCCATGGAGCCTGTAAGCAGTAAGCACAGCAAAGACGTGCTTAACTCGGATGAAGATTTGCTTAACTATAGTGACATGACAATGGATACCTTCATACATGTACAAGTATTAGCACATACCTGTCTAAAAAGAGTGCTTCAAATTTTCTGTTATAAAGCACAACTTTTCTGCTGTTATGCACTGCCATGACATAGGGTCCACTTATACTGAGAAAATAAAATTCATTTTGCATTACATCCTTCCACCTAGCAAACTCTGACCAAAAATCCAAGTTTTAGCCCAATGTACATTCACAGCATTCGACTATTCTTTCTAATGCAGTGCTTTAGCAATTTTATTCCCATTGACTGATTGGGAGTTTGTAAATATTCACTGTTTGGCGACCCACAGATGGGGGCCCTTCATTTGGGAACAACTTTGTCTCCATGATTTGAAATGTTGCTGGCTGAAACCCTGGATTCACACCAGTCACTGGCAGGATCAAAGGATTTCATTTTTTGGCTGCACATTCCAAGCCATTCTTTGGCTGGTTTTTGTCATTTTGCTGTCCAGGGGGAAGTTTCAACTATGTTGCTCACCGTTCCAGCCGCTCGTTTCTCGGCAGGGGCTTGGTCCAATCCACTTCAGACACATCTTCCTGTCGCCCGCGGCCGTACGAGTCATCGTTGTAGCCGCGGGTGTTTCTCTGGTACTGCTTACCCCCGCTCCCCCAGTTATCGGAGCGCCCACCGAACCCGCTGCCCCCCCGGTTGAAGTTGCCGAAGTTCCGCCCTCCGCCGAACCCCTGGTTGTTGAAGGCCCCACTGTCTACCTGGTTACCATAGCCACCGCGATCCTGGAACCCCCGGCTGCGATCGAAGCCTGGGTTGTTGAAGCTGCCGCGGTTGTTGTATCCACTCCGGTCATTGAAACCACCACCGCTACGGTCGCTGCCACCGCGGTAGTTGCCGCGGAAGTTCCCCCGGCCACCCCCACCGCCACGGTTGTACCCCCCAAAATCCTGGTTGGGGAAGCCGCTTTGGTTGTGGAAGTTACCTCCTGGAGGTGGGCCTGGTGGTCCTGTCAGAGAAAGAGAAAATGGTAAACCTCCGAAACATGAGGGTGTGAAAACCATCACATCAAAGCAATCAGCAAAACATCGCTGACTGTTGTTGCCAGCAGGAGTTTATCTAACTAGGCCTTGGTAACAGTTAATGAGATGGGGGAAGGTGGGGTAGACGGAACCATGGATATCGAGTTTCCGTGGGCAATTCCCAAACCTACCTCGATTGAAGCTGTTGTTGAAGTTTCCCCGTCCAGCGAAGTTGGGGAAACCACCTGCCAAGAGACCGAGTAAATGAGAAGTGCAGTCATCCACCATTCTAGCCAAGACTGCCCGACACATAGTCCTGCTGTTGGAAAATCTTATGATTTTTGAAAGCTATCTTCACAACAGCACTATGCTCAACCATTTGATGAGTCACTAAGGCCATAGTCGAGTCCATCACAAGTCGTTTTGACAGTCCAGTCACAAGATGGATGATGGCAATGAACAGCATTTCATCATGGTTCTTCCAAGTAGCTTGTCAATTTCCTCAGGACTGGATGCCTTGAAATGGACTGACAGGGACTTGTAAAAGGCTCGACTCATGCCCAACAAAGATTTGAGTGCCCAAGTTTGACTTGCTTGTAAGTTTTAAGCCCCATCAATTAGTCCACAATTGATAATCAAGGCGATCCATTAGCACAGATGTCTGTATCTAGTAAATGCTGTAACGACTCAACTGTGAGCATGTGTTTCGATACCAAACGAAAGGTTGCTCTCTAAATTTCTAAACTCTATCCCGACTTTCATTAACTGAACTTTTTTATACACTAAAAGTCTGCTTTTCACGACAGGTTGTTTGGTCACTAGTAAGGTGATGTGAAGTTTACAACAAGTGTTATATCCACTCACCTCTGCTACTCACATCCCCACCATGACGCAAGTGGGGAGGAATGTATCGCTTAGCTACAGTGAAGGAAAGACACACCATCATGTTAGAATCAACCAAACTGTCACCATCTTGGCTAAGGTATCTACAATCATAAAAGGCACGAATGCGCACCAAACAAGAAAAGTCAACCTTGAACTTAAATCAACTTATTACTTCAACTTGTGGGGTGTACTGTCTTTGGACTTGTGCTCCATTTAGACTGTTGAAACAAAGACTTGGGCTTGTCGACACATCATTCATGTACACTCTCTCTTTTAAACATGTTTTCTTCAGGTTGATTTTATTTTCACCTTACAACCTGACTGACGGATTAAAAGGTCTCATTATTTTTCCTAATTAAAAAACTGAAATGAGTTTATATGTTACAAAATGTACCTTCTGGTCGGCCTCCATCCTTCAAGTCTAGTGCAGCAAACTAATGAATTGAAAGTCAAAGTAGCAAGTTAAATAAAAACAATCGAAAACTGTGGCTCATTCATCCAATCCATGTAGTTATTTATGTTCGATTGTCCAATCAGAATTTGTTTTGCATGTCCACTTTATGACATCATTGGGGTCACGCTATTTTAGCGTCAACGAGCGTCAACAAGTTATTAAAGTATATTTATGCAAATGTTTTATATCTTTACAATACAAATTAGGCTCCTAAATACATTCAGTGTATAATGTTATCTTAACTGGTATTTAAGTGTGGACATTTGAGCGACAAAGTTGGGCCTGCTTGTGCAGCCCGACTGGGCGTCATCTTGTTTTCGCGTGGACAGCAGAGAACAGACGGTGGCCCCATACACCACGAGAAATTTTCGTTTTCCAGCAAGAATCTGGAAGTAAATTCGCTGTTTCTCTTTCATAGTGGCAGATGGTAGAGTCTCTGAAATATGATAAAACTACTTTTAAATCTTTGGAGGGTATTTTCAAGTTGTTGGCACTTTGTTGACACCACTTCTGCATGTTGAGGCCTGGTGATGTTTGGTGAAGCTAAATACCACAACTGTATAATCGGCTTATAAAGGAATGTAACGCAAGAGCATGGCTACAGGGCGACTGGCATGCATAAATGTTGGTCTGAATTTATATAAACTCATTTGAATGCAGTGAAATGCACAGTGTAATGGAGTATGTTGCATGTTCGCCGTTGATATTTTGTGGATTTTTATTAACAACTTCTCAGACATCTTGTGCAATACCCAGAAGGTTACCATAAATATGCTAGAAATAAATAACAAATGATGAAAATAGAAGCATGATGTTAGAAAACTCTGAGGTCACAAATCCAAAATTTCTAATTCTATGGTCTTAGTTAGCAGTTCAAGCAATACACATAAGAATGGGGTCGGACCAGGACCACATGAACGAGGACCATGTCAGCTTGTGCATTTGACATGGAAAACATGTATATGTACAAACACATCTATGAAAGCTGAACTAAGACTTGGTCTATTTTGAAACTGAACATTCAGTTCATGTTAAACATGCATCATGCTAGCTTGTAGGTCTACCATGGAGGAATTCATCCCTGAGCCTACCATGCCTACTGTCTGTGCTACTGCTAGCATGTAGCGTTGACAAATGTAACACAAAACAAAAGAATTATGAGAATGAGAACACACAAAGAACAGAAAAGAACCTACATGAATGTTAACCACCAATACTACATACAATGCCAATCAACCATTTCAGCATTACGATTAAATGAGGCCCTGTCATGCGCGTGGCCAAATCAAATGCGTGTCATTGTTCAACATGTACTGGCAATGACCACGATGACCATGCATGATGAATGGTCCACGTTTTTTTCTTTTTGCATTGGAATCGATTTCACAAAACAGAAGGAATACCTTACAATAAATACATTTTCATTGAATACAACAGCTCTAAACAGAAGAATACTTTACCTGGTGTTCTAGACCAGGGCCATGGCCTCCTCCATTACTCATAACTAGGTAATGTTTCGGGGGATTCGAAGATAAATTGTGAAGCTTTCGGGGAAGGATTCAGAAAACTTAGGGGAAAAGACTGCACGCAGCGGGCTTAATTTAGCAACGGGCTCTTTCAAGCATGTTTAATATGTTCCCATACAAAAGTAGTAAAACAAAATATTTTAGCCATAAGTATATGTATCAAAAATAAGTTATCCGCATAATAAATTTTATTCATTTACATCACAAAGCAAATATTTTTATACAGTTAATAAATTAATTAATTGCTTTGACAATTTTTTAAAAGGGCGCCCTCATGCCGCAACGATCTGGCGACCCTTTGCTCTTCGATAAAAGCGCTAGCGGTGGGCACATTAATTAAATAGCTAAGTTCAAGTCTCAATGACATGCAAACCGACGTCCTTTAGGTTTCTCAAACCGAAATTATATCACTGTCTTGTCCTTGATCTTTCTATTTCCTTTAAATTTTTGGTGGGTTAGCCAATTCCATTTACAATAATTTACACACAAAAAACCCAACTCGAAAAGTTGCTGTCCAAAGCCTGCGAGGAGTCAGGCTGTTTTGAATGGCATCCACGGTCATTTAAGTCTATTTTTCAACCATAACAATATCGAACGGAAGCCCCTCAAACCAGGGGAGTTGAGCCTAGCTTATATTCAATTATTCACAAAATCTCACACTATATAGGCCTGCTAATAGTTTTTTTCACGCCTCGCTGTATGGAACACCAACAAAAATGAACCAGTCAAGTTTTGAAGTATTTCCAATCATTTGAGCAATGTAGGCTACATTTGGGGAGTACGGGGGAAAAACTGACGTAAAATGGAACGGTTCTAACTGGAAGTCAGGCAGAAAATAAAATATCTATGGGGACGTGGTTGCAGCAGCGCACACCACAGTGATTATGCTCAATAGAGGGCACAACGCAATTGACATACTACCCCGAGTGGGACCAAGAGAGGGCGCAATTTTCCTTCCAACGGAGCTCCTTTGTGGAACTGCATTTCACTGGTTTGCTAACACACAAAATGAACATCCCCACCACCACCAAGGCTCTTTTCAACCAACGAGAGGGTGCTTCTGCTCAAGGGCTACACGTGCACTTTTCAAAGCCCCTTTTGGGTACATGGCCTTGAGCTCCATCAACCAAGTTGATAATGACAAAGCAGGCCAAAAGTGAAGTTAGGCCTATCAGGAGCCTAGAGAATTGGTTTTATTTTCGGCTGCATAAAAACAAGGCGAAACTTTAAGTGCTTTAACACGCATGGAATGCTTAAGTATGTAATAAAGAAAGTTAACCTGTCTAAGTACAGGTAATGCAACGGTTTACAAGTTCACGGTTTGATGGAAATCTTGAACCTATGTACAATTAACGCCAAAGCGCCGGTACCCTTCTTAGTCATCTATTCGAGCTTGTTATTGTCCTCTGCAAAGGTTAAGTGTACAAGATTAATTATTTTAATGGGATTTTGGATTGTAAATATGTGGCACTAATCTGCCTAATGCAGGTAATAGACGTTGTAAAACTCATTTGAATGTGAAAGGAGCCTGTCATTTTGAAGAACATCCTGAGCCATAAAACGTGACATGAGACTGACATGTACCTCTGCATTTCACGACTATGAATTAATTGTGTATGTTTCAGCACGGATAAATAATTATAGCCTAAAATTTTATCCAGCGTGCTTTTCTGCACCCTTTGTTTGAACTTTTGGAGTGCTGCTCTACTTTCAACAGCACTGACTTTCTGACGTCATCAAAGCCTTTAAACTCATCAAAACGTGCCGCTCTTGATGCGGGTGCCACCCGCGCGGTAACGGGCGGTCTGACCAAATTTATCTCCTCTTCAATAATGCGTCCAGTACCTAGTGTCAGGGGTTAATTAGTTCAGGTATAAGAAAGACGCTAATGAAAGGAAGTGGTCTCCAGGAATGGATTAATCTTTATTTGTGAAATGAAATCCTTATGTGCCATTATTGTCTATTAACCAGCGACTACAAACTTCATCGTACGTAAGCCATGACTAAGCGTCAGGCTTTGGGGGGGACAAAGCTCACAAAGCTATCCTACATCAGCGTTTTTCGCACTTGACTGGCATGGACATCTCTCTACGAGTTTATACGAAACTTTTTAAGGCCATACGCATTTCAGTCCGATTGCGGCACGCCGAGGGCGAAAACGTTGGACCGACCAGTCGCACACGAATCGGCGTTTGTGGTGCTTCTGGGGTTTTTGTAGTGCGAAAATGATTGAAAGGGTTCATGCATGCTGGAGACAATCCCGCAGGTGCGGTGGGAGACATAAAATGGCTAAGATACAGGTGAAAATGTTGAGGGGCTGGCTGGATTCTACACCTCGGCCGCCGTCAAGCTCGGTTAATGGTTAGTGTTAGAGGAGTGCAGTGGAGTATCCGGGGGAGGGGGTAACTTGCTCCAACAGATATTTATTTATTTAACAAAGAACACTTCAAAGTTGAGTAGGAAAGAAAGTAACCGGTATGTTTATTTATGAATATTAGTACCGAAACCCTTAAGACAATTAACACCAGCAAGAAATCAAGGATGTCGGGACCGTGAGCAAAACTTTTCTCCACAGCATCATGTTAAATGAGCCCGAAGCCGCATTCGCTTTTGAATTTACGCCACCCCCACACACACACCAAAAGCTAGCTACGCCGCTGGTGGGGTGCCACTAGGGTATGCATTGACTATTCTCATAGGATGTGGATTCATTAACTCCCTGTTTGTCTTTAACTATAAGTAAGTTTCTACAACGGGCAAATGCAATTGGTCTATGACGAGTTGTTTTGAACAAAAGGAGCGGGAAAAAGCCAGCTTCCAAATGCCAACCGCACCCCAAATTAATTTATGTATAATCCATCTCTTCTCTATACGGCAATGGTTTCTTACTACAGTCCTATCATTTCATTTCAGCCAGTGTACATGTAGGCCCACGGTGAACTCACCGGTATCTTCCTTGGTATCCCAGCTTTGATGGAAGACGTATAGGCTACTCACGCCACCCAGCCAAACTTACTAAGAATCTAGGTCACAGGGCAAAAAGTGTGGCTAAGATTTGTTAGCAAAGGTAGCCTGCATACGACCTCTATGCATGCGATTATGAGATCTTCTAATCTAACAGTGAAATTCTTGGGATGACCCACCCGGAATTAGAAAATATGCCCTTTTACAGAAGCAAGGACTAGGTTCCTTGCAAATGCTCCAAGCGAAATATGACCATCCAATATTCTTCTACCAAGCCGCACCCAACTTGAGCGTTATATGCATGTTCTGCCGCCCGATCACACTGTCTTGTCCTTGTCTTCTTCTATACATACATGGTTTGTACATCATACATTTGTACACTGTCGGAGCGATTGTGATCTCAAGATGGTTAGCCATCAACAGCCATTTACTTACCACACTCGAATTATCATTCTGTACGAGACCCAGTAAGCCTTTGTGCGTATTTTCTAAAGGTTGTCTCATCAGCCAGCCCTATTTGCTTCAGGGGGGCGCGACCAGCTTATTTCATTCACCGTACTTAAAAAGCATACCCAACGTTACGAACAATGAGCCAGTTCAGTAACGCAAGCCCAAACTAAAAACCCCGTCTGAAGTCACTGATTCGATCGGGAACGAGCAATACACGAGAGCAAGGACACCCCCATCAATGCTGCCATACGCCGACTTGCACGCTTGCTGTGTTCTCAAATGACCTTGCCTTTTTCAAATACCGAACTAGTCCCCTAAGACTGTTCGTAGCACATGCCGTGTTGCCCTGACCAGTTTTGTACAAGAGTTACAGTCCGTAATTGGCTTCAACTTGGACCAAGAGAGGGCGTTATTTTCTTGGCAACGGCGGCTTCTTTGATCGGAACTGGACTTTGCTGGTTTACGAACGACCAGGAAATGCATGGCTCCGTTCGCATCGCTACCATCAACTTAAACACTGCCGAATGAGACGGCTCTTTTCAACCGATGAGTTGTGATTGCCAAAAGCAATACAGACATCGGCCGGTGTACAGCACTGGTCGATGTAATAGTTAACAATAAGATTGAAGAGGGATATGACATCGTGTATATAACTTAAGTAGGCCTATAATTATTGGTGTACTCGAGTAGGACCTGTCCAACATTAACAGCTCACTGAGGGGAAAGTTGAGGATTGGACAGTCATTTTAGAAAAAAAATCCAAGACCAGGATACTTTTCTGATTGTCCCTTTTCTTTACTGGCTAAATCAAACACTCTATTTCAACATAGCACTGAGATAACTGAGGCAAAACCTAGTATCAGTTGCCGTAAATCTCGTTTCACAGCTACTCTACTGAGACCATTGTCAGAATACATGTAGAATCCCGAGACTCAGGCACGATGCAACGTATACATCACGAAACACAGCCATCAATCCTCACCGTCGTTTTCTTTTATGAAAGTTTTCTTGAGCAGTTGGGGCCTTTTCAATACTTGGCTTTTTTTCCGAGGGGTACAAACAGGCTGATACATAAGCTGGTCAATGCAGTGATGAAGAAAATAGGGATGGCTACCGTAACCTTTAGAAGTGAACACAAAAGCTGGTCGGGTCTCTTACAGAATGTTTATTCGAGCTTGATATGGAAATTCTGACGGCTTACAATCTTGAGTAGGATCGTCCACGAAGGTCTCCATATCATACACAATGTGCATAGACGAGACAGTGTGACCGCCCGGGCGCGACTTGCAAGAACTAAGAGTTGGATCGTTATATTTCTCTACGAGTTTAAAGATTCGCAGGTAAATCGTCTTCCCATTATTACAAAAGGCATGTCTTTGTTTCTGATTTGGCCATTCTGGGAATTTCAAAGTTTCATTTATGGATGGAGTTATCGTAATCTTAAGAACTTGCACGGAGTTCGTGTGAATGCCAGCGTTGCTTACAAACCGCCGCCACAGGTTTTGCTTCGCCAACTTAAAGTTAACATGTTGATTGGAAGCCTATTTTGCGTCAGTACGCTTTCCAAGTTAACGCTATCATTATACACTTGCCTTCCATGTCATGATTATATTCAGAGATATACTACAGTACAAACATAAAATGTAAAGCTGTAATTGTACACATGCAGATTGACATTTCAACAGTTGGGATACGGCATCGTGGAATACCCGATGCTGGGGACGAGGCAACCTTGAGCAAAGGTTGAAAGGTATATGTTCATGTATACGGGTGTGGATTGCAGCGATATATACGTTCAAAAACAAAACCAAGTCAATTTCCAACTTGTCACCAAGTCTACTGTTGTTTTGTTTCGGATCATTCCAGAGCATTTTCAGTGAACACTCTCGAGGACTCGAGGGGCACTGAACACATGCATTGAGGACAGACGCCTCTGAAAGATACATATGTATTTAGCGCTTGCGGTCCAAGTGTAGGCAAACTTTTAACTTTAAAAAGTATGCATTTTCCTTCTTATACCAGTCGTCATCCCAACATGACTCGTTTAGCTAGAGGTTCTCTTGGACTCTGCGTGATACTGGGGATAATTGGAGCCGTGACTTGCAAAGTTTGGTCTGCTGAGGATTGTCCCACCAAGCTACTGGCGTTTGAGCGAAGACCCTGCTTTCCTGCAAATGTCACGGTGGACGACCAGGCCTGTGAAGCGTAAGAATCGTCATATTACTATGAAGCCTGGTTTCCACGGTTGTAACAAATGCCAACGACGCAGATAGTCGCGGAAATGACCGGTGCGTGACCTCAGTCCAACCAAAAAACAAGACAAAAGGTTGAAATTCTGAATATTTTTGCATAAAATGCTGTTTTTATAGGTGGCAATACCGCCTCTTGAAGGTTGAAACCAAACTGATACTCCAGTTTGATGTACATGTGTTGTAGGGCCTACTTATGGTTAACTATTTTGTTGACAATTTGGTTGTATATGTTAGGCCTAATAATGAGAAAATGGACAAAATGAGTGGTATTAAGAGAGGGAGACGTCGTTGTTCGCCTTTCGTGCCTGCGTGCGTCTTTATATAATCCTACACTCTGGCGAATCAACCAAGTCGGCAAAGTTGAACCTGGTCCAATTTTCCCAAATCTCCGCATCGACGTTTGCGTTAGTCACGATTATTTCCATACTCATCGCTGCGTATCGCCTGGGACTGGTCGGCGATGCTCCCTTTGATACGAGGTGGAAACCAGGCTTAACTTCTACCTCAACCTCTACCAACGATACACCTGTTGCATTGTCGATCTACTGGCCTTTCTTCTTGCTACACACTTCACACCAATATTTCACCCCATCTATTCATCGAAATCAAGTTGCACTTCTACTTTCTTGACTGTTATCATTTATCAACTCTCAACCTCATTGCGTAAACAATAGCATAAAGTCACTCCTGGCAATCTACTTTTTACACCCACTAAGGTTTCTGTTATTCTGTACCATTCCACCCACTATTCACTCACTTTATGGGCCACCTCCTCCCAAGATGCACCTCGCTCCATTAACTTTTTAAATGGTACCAAGCGACACTCCCTAATCTCCAAACTCTCATTATGTTCACCCATCGTTGCCCCTTCCAACAGCGAGGGTTGCACGTTTTGCAACACCAACCTACGGGACTTGCCCACCTGTTTCAACAACACTCGACCGGGTCTCTACTGGGAAGCAGACGGCAGACAGGACTCATGCCCGTCGAACATCACCTTTGAGAATCGCGTGGATTGTTTTCAAAGTTCTGCGAGAACCTGCACAATCTCCAATTCCTGCACCCAGGCTTTCTGTTACGCTATTGGATGCGAGTGGTGTAAAAGTGACCAAGGCCAGCCGTACTGCTTCTACAAAACTGAGGTGATTCTGTTCACATTTCAGTTGTATGAACAACTTTGCTTAATACTTACCGAGCGCAGGCCTTCGCGTGGTCTGAATTCCCACAGAGCTCGCAGTGGCTTTTCCAGCGTCAGATTTTTATGTAAATATCGGGTGAATCTCATGTGCGCACCAAAATAATATCAGTGCTTTTGATTGAAGAAATGGTGCAGGTTTGCTTTTCCGATCAGCTGACCATACTTTTCTTTATGTCGTCAAGTCTCCTGACGAAGGCCTAAGCATATTATCAGTGTTGGTACAAGCCCGAGGTCGGTAAAAGCAGCTCTTCTTTGAAATCGTCACTTAATGCTTGCATGTAATACGTACTATGCCTTGTATGGCAACTGCTTTTAGAGCCTTAAAGTTCACATGGCGTCGATGAAGGCAATCTGTACTGACCTGTTAATGATTTTTCCCGCTAGGATGGTTTGGTAGTACCTCAAGCCAAGGTTGCTGTACATCGCAACATCGGAGGCACCTACGTAGCAACTGTAACCCGGCCTGCTCTACCGAGAGACATACCCAATACTCCCACTGCGTTGGCGTGGTATTTGACATTTACCTTCGGAGTGCCGGTCAAAGACGTCAAGGTAAGAGCACGAGAACATTCCTCAGCTTCGAATGAATTCATAATTCAAATAAAGGCATGTAGTGAATACAGCATTAGAGCAAAACGTTGTCTTTGGCCGTTTGTGCCGTTTCAGCTACACGATTTTTTGGCGTTCATGAAGGGTTAATTTCAAGGGGAAAAAAACATTACAGAACCACACATACTCAAGAAAGAGATTTATCCATGGTGTAACCGCAATCGTTTTACTCATAAAGGGCGCATTCCCGACATAAAAGTCTCTGGGTTAAACTGGGACCAGCGAAAAGACTAGTGTAACAAAAGGATACAAAAGCGGGCGTCTGGCAGGACTGGCCCACATCGCCCTAGGAGTGTAAAGTCAACCGGACAACGGGCTCCTACTTTTCACAATACCGTTCATGTGTTTATTGTTCTCCCACATCACTCCAAAAAAAAAAATGCCAAGTATGAACAGGCTACCTATTAAGAGGGACACATTTACTTTTTCAGTTGTATCCTGACCGGCTAAAGGAAGCTAGAAGGCGAATTTGAGGGACAAAGGGAAATAAATTAGTTTTGTCATTGTGGATTGAACTGCATACGTTACCCCCAAAACCGTCACCCTAAATACAGGGGCGGCACGTCAAACTTTTGGTCGATAGAAAAACAACCCCCTTTACCTCCGTAAAATAATGCGACAACCCTAACCGACTCAATTTCTCTTTCTTTCTTTCCAAACCCAGTTCGGAAGTCCTCTCGCTAACTTTGTGAAGGGAAATGAAGATTACTCATTTATTATGAGGCCAAAGCAAACGCACTGGAACCCATTCGCTAAACAAGAGCACTTTTTACTCACGGCCACTTTGGACCGACAGGCACCCGCTTATAGACCCGTCGCAAGAGGGCGTTTGAGCTTTGACACGGCTCCAAGGTATGCACGGGAACCAGTCGTTCCTCAACTTGCAGGATTCCTTGCTGGTGGATGCGTGACCACTTTTGAGTTCGACCCTGCGATTCAAAATACTAATTTTGGGAAGATAGCGGTTACATACCGTTTCACATCCGAGCAATCTGTGTTGTCTACTATCAGACTGTTAATACAGCGCAGTGTCTCCGCTATTCTGGTAAGTAAACTTCGTCGAAAAGTTTCATCCCTTTTCTCACGCGAATACTATATGTTGAGTTGATTATCTACCATTTTTCCCCGCATGAATCGATTACAAATGAACAGCCGCAGCACGGCGTTACTAAGTTTCGGACTGCGCATACTGAGCAGCATGATGTCAGTGTTCTTTTTATGAAATTCATCTCGAGAGATCTGGATTTGCTCTAAATGAAAGTTAACTTCCAGCAATTAATGTTCCAGATAAAGGTCTGCTGGGGCAAGTTATACCGAGTTGTACGTTTAATGATAAGTAAACCATAGCCTTCGTAAAAAGTCAAATGTCCACAATAAATATGTATCTCTATGCTTCTGCTAGTTAATTTTTGAGGAACAATACAAATTGCTAGTTGGTACAACAAATTGTTGTCACAGTATGATCAACAAATGTATTTTGTTTCTCTGAAATGCAAAATGTTTGTGGTTTTCCCCCTCACTTCGTAGTCACGGGTCTATTATGAAGCTTACAGTATTGCGTACACCCAAGACTACAAGCTGTCAGTATTGAACGTGAAACCAGATGGAGCCGAGCGTTCTCCCGGAACCTTCTCCATGGTTATGCTGTACGACTCGTCTCAGATCAAGGGAGAGTTGAACCCCGAACTGGCCTTCATGATCCAAAATTCGTTACCGAGCAGGCCTTGTAGCCTGGAGTATCAATCTGAGGAGTGACCAGTCCGAGCTAACTTGTAACGTGATCACACCTACCGGTTCTTGCTTATGTTGGCGCAAAGTTTGTAAAGATTTATTCATATCTGGACGTGCGTCAAGTAACACAGGCCTGTTGCGTCATTACGCAAGCTGTTCTTTTTTTTACAGTCAAAAAGTGATGTTTTAGATAAAACGCTTTGTCTTACTTTCATTAGTAACCAATTGTTATGCACAATATAATGGTCTAATGCTTTCCTTATTATGCTTATTAACTCTTACAATTAAAGAATCTCGACACGAGGTACTGGTGTGTACATGTATGTAGCCCTAATATTAAAAAAAGATGTAGAATTTGTTTAAACGTATTTTAGCCCGTTCTGTATTTGCGCGTGGTAATAAGCAGAGTTTTGCGCATTCCGCTTCAGTAATGACTAGTTTTACAAAGTGGCACGTTTGATTTTAGTGACATTGGTGACGTTAAAACGCACGATTGCAACTCGGCAGCACTCTTTAAGCTCAGAAAAAAAGGTCTCCGCGGGCGTGTTGGGAAAACCCCACTGTACGCATGGATTCCGACCCGCAGTCATTCTCCATCGATATATACTAAACATTCACATTAAGGTCCTGAAGAATAACAATGTATTGAGTCGATTTTGTAGTAACCAATAAATCAAGTACCTACACGCACCAAGTCTCTGTTTGTAAATGTTAATGTTTGTACGCTTTTGAATGCACTCCCATTAGTCTTAACTTCAACACTGTTGTTCTGTCTACAGGGTACTTCAAGTCTAGGCTGTCCATTTTCAACATTGTACCAGTTGCAAATGATGTTGTTTGCTTAGATATAGCGGCAAGTGTTACAAACAGGAACATCTTTGGTTTCTCATTTTCAGGCGTGGTCCGAACTCGAGATCACTACGGCCATCAAACGCATGAAACCAGAACTGTGGGTTTTAGAATCGTATCAAAAGATTCAACATTACTTACAAACGACCTGGTCAAAAAGTTGCATAGCAGACTTCACTTGATTTATTTTAACGTTCCTTGGTATAGAGCTTTTAGATGGATATAAAATCAAGGGAATTACGACAAAAGTTGTCAAGATAAATATAAAAATATATCTATACATGTATTGATAAAATTATCAAATTATAAGACTGCATAAAATAAAATATCAATATTTCATATTGTTCATGGGAATGACTTCACAGTACCCATGCCACTTATCACTTTAAAAAAATACCCGTAAATATCAAAGTGGCATTGACATTCCAGAAATCGAGTTTGACCAAAAAAAATCAATATGCTCTTAGTATTTAGTCTTCAGGACGCATGCGCATAGTTAATGCTCCGAAGGGCCGACAATGCTGTAATAGTCGCAAACGTACGCACTCGTTATTTCACATAGTGTCTCCTCATCAATGCGGTGTAGCAATGGATGATGAATTGGTGTAGCAATGGACCTGTCAAACTGAAATTTGACAAACTGACAACCAAGATTGGTGTTGGTTAGGTAATGTCTGTTTTGTCCGCGTCTACAGGCGGATATCATTATCTCGGCATAATAATAACGCTGAATACATTGAAAGGCTATGCAGCATGTAAAATACACAAATTGAGGCATGTGACTTTACAGCAGACTTTAATTATCACAGAATTCCCTTATTAAACACTGTGCCAACTATTGTTCGCAAAACAAAAACCTGCATATACAGATGCTACCACTAAAAGTAGGCGCACCACCCTTGATGTACAGCGAGCTTGGGAGCCCACTCATCCCTGAGTAAGATCTTACATTATTCACTTACGAGGAGCTATCTAACCCCGATAGCAGAACAAGTTGTCAGGGTACTCGTAGTTCGCGCAGGACGAAGACACCACAATCGCTCTTGGGGCGAACCCCACCCTGTGGGAAGCAAAAACTGACAGTGAGAAGAAACATCCAATCCAACTGCAGATGGCTGTAATAACAAACTAGACTTTTAACAGCAAAATGCCTGGTTTGAAGCATGCCGACAATACAATATGACAGGCAACGGAAATTATGTATAACAGCTTCAGCTTATCACGCGGGGTTGTGGCCACCAAAGAAGGAAAAAAGGACTTTGATCGAGCTTGCTTGCGGAATCCTAGAGGGTAAAACTACTATTTTTTTTCTTTTTTTCAGTCCATTTTCCGTTGGAAAAGATCAATTTCGAAAGGCTTTACTGCCAACTTCTGTGGTCTTGAATTTTGTTTGAAAAGAAAAAGCTCACTTCAACGCATTTTGATGTGAGCCTCGCTTATTAGCGTGGATTATAATATCCGATAACATACTACCGGCAAGCTTCGAACATTTCTCTTAGCTTTACAAATGCTTCTTTTTTAACAGCAATGGGTAGCCAGATTGTTCTGCCGAAATGCTGTTTTAAACCTCTCAACACTTGGTCATTTTAATTGCCATGTTCCAGCCCAACTGCGGATAGCGTTTTTGATGGTACCGAGGGAATGTAGAGCTGGAAATGTACCACGGAGTTAACATAATTATGATGGTCTAGTTTGGGGCGAGGTTTCCGCTGAGGCTCACTGTTATACATTTCATCTGAAATCCAAAAAGTAATCTTGGCGGGCCAGCCACAAGTCAGTCAAAATGACTGTCGTACAATTTAAAGAGCATTAAGATAACTACTGTCTGCCTCAATCAGAAATGATTCCTTGGATTCAACTTCAAATTCAGGGACACACAGTTGTCTGCAGAACAAATCTTCGAAAAAATAAAATGTTGATATACATAAATTTCATCCGACACGGAAGAATTTGTAAAGAGTCTCTGTGGAGCAGAATGATGGATATTTAAAAACTGTTTAATATTTCAAGGCTTGATTCTGTGTTGAAGTCTAGAACACACAGATTATTTTCTGTCCAGACAAATACTTCCCCTTAATATACACTACCGTTGTTTCTGCAAACCAGTTTTGCTGTTACTTCCGATTGGAACAGACATTTCATTGCGACACCAAACATTGGTCATTAAAGGGAGTGCAGGTGGTAGGTGAAGCATGAAAGTTTTATTTATCCCAATAATTTGAGATGACTCAACACAACAAAAACTAAAATAAGGTCAAATTGGGGACTGGAGACACGTAGTTTCATCTTATGATTTGAAGACTGTCTTTGGACCCAGAAACAACGTGTCATTATTTCATTCAATATTGCGACGCAGTTGTATTGCTTCTGTGCAACTTTCATTTGGAAAACAATTTGAAATTTACGTATTCGAAAAAAAAAATTACTTTTCAAGAAACATAACAACAATGATAATGCAAGTTGACCAAAAAAAGGATGTTCCAGTCTAGCGAGACGCCAACGTTATTAACCCAACTTAATGAGGCTACAAAACAAGTATTTATAATTTTCATTACAAAGATGCAAGAATAACTTTTCAAGATTTCGATAAAAAAGAGAAGTATACATTACTTTCACCGTCAAAATTAACAAGGAAGCAAATACAATATAATTTTATTTTATTTTTTTTTGTTGATTTCAACATGTTGCTTCTCGGAGGCTACAGAACCCAGGTTATGCGTGTTAAAAGCATCTACGAAAAGCACAATTCTATCACTTCTGTTCACTCAGATTTGAAAAGGTTCGGATTCTTGCATTAATATACTTGAACATTTAAGGAATTTGTTGTCTTTCACGGAGTGCAACTTTCCTTGTTACAAAATTTCATTTGTTACTTGTAAGATTTGTTGCTACTTCAAAAACACAGCTGCGGTTATGATTTTGTTCCATAAAATTTATCTTTTATAAAATAACGTGGAAAACAGTGGTGTGTTCCACTTTGGGGCACTTACCAGTCCAGCAACTTCACAAGATCTCCACCTTCTGATGATATTTAGGCTTTTACTTGCTTGCTTTCACCATTACAGGGACATTTCTTGAATTTGTCTCACAGAAATTTCTTTCACGTTCTCTCGATGCGCTACACACTCTTCTTATAATGAAAGTTGATACTTCGCGAACGCCCGATACAACAGTCATTTTAGCAAGTTCAGTCGCCAAAAAAGCGATAGTTTCACACCAAAAACATGTATAGTTCCGAAAAGGTCTTTCAGTAGAGCTAAGGTCTCTTGTAATATGCAAGTGCATGTGCTCAATACTTTGCATCACAGTCTGTCAACACGAACACTTTTGAGCCGCTTCAACAAGCTCCATAGTACATGAGGCTGCTCCGGTGTTCCCAAATACTCATTTACATGTAACCGATTAATTCACAATAATCTTTTCACTTGGTGGTTCCGAAAAAAGCCACACGCTATTCTTTTTCTTGCAGCAGCTTCTCGATAGCAACAATCCTTTTTTTCCGTACAATACAAACGCCAGAAATCTGCCCAATTTTCTTTTGAAAAAATGAATCATCTTCCGCTGAAACCGTTTCAATTCTTTATCCCGTTCATTACGAAATGCAACGCGCAACGACTGACAAATGGCTAGTTATCAAGTCATGTTATTCAGTAATTTGAAAATAATTTCTGAGCCTGTTACTGTGATTCCGCTCGTTTATTTCACTAGAGGAAGTTCACATTTTAACAAACTGAAGAACATTTTTACCACACACTTACAGATTTTAATGATAAAAAAAACTTGCTCAAAAAGTCACAAAAAAAGAACATCTGTACAAATAAAAAAAGTTGTGTTCGAACAGACAAAACTGTTAATAAAATCTTCACCCTGATTACAGGAATTTCTTGGATCTACATGTAATTTGTTCTGCACAATGCCACGATGATACTTTCTGTTCAATTCGCAAGCGTTTTCTTAAACAGCCTGTGTGCTTTAAGCAAGGTTTTTAGTTTCCGATGAAGTTTCTTTCAGTGTCACAACGTTTGTTAATATTCCTGGTCTTGAATAAAACGGCTCAATTCACTGGCGGTGCGCACTTCAGAGAGAACAAATCGCTTGACACAGTTTCCCAACAGGTCTCTGGAGTCTTTTGTACGTCACACACATATTTTGGAAATGGTCACCAGAACTAAAAAACACCAATGGCTGTTGAACGCGATCCATTGGCAATCCCACCGATTTAAACCACTTCTTTAGTATTTATAACAATTTTTTTCAACATTAGAAGCATAATTGTTGAAACATTCCTTCATGTTCTCCACAGGTCAAAGCTTGTGTAAGCTTTGACAAAGATTTTATAGTAATGTTAATGAACGTTACACTCGGGGTGCATGATTTGCTAAAACAATACATTTAGTGATAAGGCAAAAGAATTTGGCCATAATTACTCTTAACAAATTGTTTTGAGAGTATGGTATTTTTTGATGTATCAATTCTAGGGAATTTCTGATAATTGTTTTCCTTTGTACCATTTGCATTGTTAAAAATTTACTAGCTTCGGTCAGAAGAGTTCTTAAAACTTTGTGGCAAAATTGGGTCTTCAAAAACAGAACCAAAATGTGAATGGAGGTGTGGATAACACATGTACATGTATACTGTACATTAAGATTTACACACTTTTGCATGATATGGAAGTGGGTTTTAACAAATACATGTAGGTGCAACTGCTGACAAAGGGGTATTGTTATTAATGTTGTGGAGCCCTAACACATACCAATCGCTGAAGAAATTAGCCGAGTGACAGAAGTCCTTTTAGTTCACATCGAAGAGTTCTTTTCTAGATTTAGACTGAATACACGTATACGGCAATGTGATGAAATCTCTAATGGGCCAAGAAAAAATGGCTGGTTATTAAAATACATAACTCAGTTTTTTCAGGGTTACTTTGTTCAGTCCTCAGTGCAAAGGGGCTTATGCTGTGAAATGTTAAAAATGTTTAAAACTCCAAGCATTTTCGACAATGTGTACTGTGATCACAGAGAGCTTTGGAATAAGTAGTATCTTACATATGTGACCTGGTACATAATAATCAGGAAAAAAGTTGCTCAGACCATTTTATGTAATGGCCGAGAAAAGTGGGGATGTGGATACATGTTGAAAAAAATCGATGTGGCGGTTTTTATACATTTTGGAAGTGTATTAATGAAAGGTTACTATCAACACACCAGTCTTGTAATATGTACCATTTGAAAGCTTACGAAATTCTCTTTCTATGTACTTATCTCACAAAGTCAATTTGCGACTATTTCCCGATTTCGATTTACTGGTCAACAACAAACATTTCTGTACACTGCCTTGGCTACGTGGTGACATTTTATAGGCCAGCGTGATCACAATTAATTTCAAACTATTTGACCAAGATGCAGAATGCAAATGAAGATTCTTGACACCTGTCATGTGTGGAATGCAACTGGAGAAACTTGACTCCTTCTCGTTGTCTGTGTCTTGGAAGTTTGACCATTTGGAAATCGTGGCAATATGAATAAATTTGCAGATTTTGTTGGTAATCGTCCGAACAACAATGAAGAGGTTTGATTCCCTGCTGAAATATTTGCTTTATTTCTTCGGACTCAGCCATGTTTCTCACGTCACTGATGATCTTTCTACACAAGCTGGTAACATCAACTCTGTTTCCCTTTTACGATCTGCGATGTATTCCAATTACAGCTCAATGTGCATGCACTTGAATTTTTGTAGAAAATGAATGTTTTTACAAAGATTAAACTTTTAACTCACGGTAATGGCCTGTACGAAAATCACTGAAGCACGTTTAAACTCTGAGAAAAAAACTACAAGCCTAAAAAAGACATTTTCACAGCTTCGAGGTACAAAAAAACAATTTTTAATACTAAAAGTTCCCCAACAACAGGTCTACGAGGTCAACATTTTGACTAGCTTAAACATGATGGTTACTTCCAACTTCGTATTTTTTTATGTACACTTGGTCTTCGATTTTCTTTGTCTTGCCGGCTTGCCTTTTCCCTCCTCCTTGGTAAAGGGAACTTGAATTTTAATAGCGCTCGTAACCCCTGCTTGGGGGCGGGGCTCGGGTGGCTGGGGGTACCCCACCGCCGTTATGATCAAGTGGGCGGGAAGCACGCTCAGCGGGGTACGCTCCGCGGCCCCCAGCAGAGGAGGGCGAGCCGTACGAGTCTCGTGCCCCATACGGGGATTTCTCGGCAGGACGGGCAGAGCGAGCCTCAGCATAGGAATAAGGGTCATAGCGAGGGGCCGCACTTGAAGATCCTGTATTTTGGATAAAGAGAGTTATTAAATCACAAATGTCACATGCAGCTGTAGTTTAGAATATTGATTTCTGACAAAAAAGTCGCATCTTGTGAACTGGCTTAAAATCAGTATTGCAAGGCTTGAACTTTTTACTTTTGAAGTGAATGTGCACAAGTTTTACTTTTTCTCGCTGCTACAGGCTGTTAGTAGTTTTTTTGTCTTGAGTTAAATTTCTTTTTTGAATGCTTACTTTTTGATTTCTCAAGCAATAACAAGAAGACATTTCGTCCAGCAACGTTACAACATGATCTGCTAAACTGTCCGTATTTTGTTGACTGGCTAAATCTCTCCAATTCAGTGAGCTGTGAATACCGGCACAAATTTATTCAGTATTGCCTCAAAGTGGACTGATTATTTTTTAAGTTTTCCACAGATGAAAAAGTGGAAACTATTTTTCGATGTTGATCTTTCTCCCACCTGAAGTACATGTACTTAGTTTATAATGCAATGGTAAATGTTCGGTTTAAAACCTAAAATGTAAGTCGACCAAAACTATTTTGCTGTGAACCTCACAGAATTTTATATTTTACGTTGTCAGTTTCATATTTCAATTATTAAGAAGAAATGGTCACTTCAAATTCAGATTTCTGATTCTGAATTTCAACTTTGTCATTTAAGTATTTAATTTTACCCTTGACAGTTGCTCCTCCAGGAACTACAAAGGCACGGCAGAGAAGAAATTTTCATCCGTTTTCAGAATGAGATTATTGCCTCTCATGAGGGACCACATGACCATAAGATGTCGTTCCGTCCAACACATTGTGTCTCACTCCAAAACGAGATTTGTAATTGATAACGAAATGTGATTTCTGCAGACTGGCAAGTGGCCGGCTGATTCTTTGACATGAATGCTGTGCTGATTTGCATCGTCTAATATAAATATGCAAAGTGTACAGACCACTTTTGCTAGATTAGCAAGATACCATTATTCAATCCATACCAAAACCAGAGCTCCTGAAACAAGACAGAGCCTTCTGCCCTCTGGTAATGCGCCCTCCACATCACTTCATGCTGGAGTCTTTGGTCAATAACAGAAAGATTACTAACAAGGCAATCCGAAAGCTGCATCTTTAAGGACACAGGCTCTAAAAGACAGGATGATTGCACAAGTGTGATTGGATCCACAGACAGACCCCCACAGCAACTTCCGTCCGGAATCAGTTTGGTTTGGAATTCAACGACAGGCAAAATTAATCAAAAAATGTCATGAGATGAAGAAAAGTGGAATACATTACCTGCATATTCCCTATCTGGGGCCCTGGCCTGAGATCTAGGATACTGGTCAGCGTAGGCCGAAGACCGGCTGGGTGCTGCCTCACCTGTTCATTACCAGAACCAATCAACTACTTCAATTCACAAATAACAGCAAATCGACTAGACGGGAATACTGACGATGTGTCCTTATAATCATTCAGTTGACAACAAAAGCGGGATTTGAAAGCTCTCCAAACAATCCTTGTCTACCAATTCTAAGGATTTCAACATCGCTTGTGTTGTATGTATCTTGACTTTGGGCACAACTGGCTATGATTTTTCAGTAGGTAGGGTGTGTGTGTTAAAAATGGCTTCTGTATCCTGAAAATTAACATACTGACATGGCAGACACTACCTGCATCCGGCTGAGTAGTTCAGATTATCTTCCTTTCATATTATTCTCAAAAAATTTAAACGAGAAGCAACTCAATGCACTCCACAGAACAAGGATGTAGAAATTTGATCATCTGTCATCAAATTGAAACAGGTTATGGCCAAATCAAACAAATGTTAACTGTCTTCACCGAGTCTTCGCACGCTACTTGGAAAAGCCTGACATGCGATAGCTGGCACAGATAAAAGGTCCAAGTATGACTTACGTTCGTACTCCCTGCCGTACGCTGCCTCTCGTGGGGGTGCCCGTTCATAGCCCCGCTCCTCCTCATAGCGACTGGCTGTGCGGGCTGTGGCCGGAGCGTACTCTCTCTGAGCAGCAGGCGTCTCGCGGCTGGCGGGCAGGCTGTAGTCGTAAGACGGGCGCGAGGCTGCGGCAGTGCTGTAGGAATCCCTGGCTGGTGGAGCATAGGGATCGCGTTCACGAGCAGCATAGCTAGAGGAGAATTAGAAACAGAAATTACTAATGATGAAACATCTCATTAAAGACTGCCCTGGAAGTCGTTCTAGTACATTACGATGTTGGTATATTCAACACTGCTTGTGTTTTACAACAGTTCTGAAATCAGAGACATATAAAGGATCTGGGTGTAGATCCTATGATTGTCGTGGTTACAAAATTTCTGAGAACTTCAATTGGTTATTTTATCAAATAAGTCTGCAAGAGCACATAAATCCACGTCCGAGTTGCCATACGTGTGGCTCACATTGGCTAGCCCTTAAGTGCTAGAAATGAAGGGTGCTAAGACATACCCCTCCCTTTCTGGGTAGGCTCTACGTGGGGCTGGCTCCTCCCTGGCTGGTGGGTAACGCTCACGGGCGTAAGGGTCTGCCTCGCCATAGCTAACGCGGGATGGCCTCGCAGATGCTGGAGCTACCAGGAAAAACCAAGCCAAACATTTGGTAAATAAATGCTTTTTTCATTACTTAAGTCTTATTGCTAGGTAACTTTCGCATAGCAGATAGATCTATGGAAGCATTTTTCTTGGCAGCTCTGTGAAACTGGACGCAATCTGTTTGCATTTCTAAGATATATCTGGCTCTGGCACTGAAAAAAGAATTGCAAGCCGTATGCTTTTAAAACTTTCTCTGATACGTAACATGCTTAAATTTCTTGGGAGACAACTTGCACTTGATAAACAATTACAGCCCGTATCCTGTGTGAGGGAGAGCTACGGAATTGAAAATATTTGAGGTGGTTTGTACCTGCTCCGTATTCATCTTCAGGGTAGGCCCTGCGACGAGGCTCAACAGGCTCCTCCGCGTCGTACACAGGGCGAGGGGCATGATCTGAAAGTAAGGTCAAATTGTGTTAGACTCATTTCCAAGCTGATCCTTAAGAATACAGCCAGGGTTTGCACCCCTATCCAATGTGAAAGGTGGACCTGGATGCGTGACTGTCGACGGCAGCAATTACAGCTGAAGACATTCTGGCTCCCTGTCTAGTGGTAGGGCTGAACAGTCTATCGCATCAAATCATGACGTTAGGTTTCACTACATGGAGTTGGTATGGGTTAATGATAAGCTAGTATAAAAGGTGTTACCACAAACTTTGCACCTGCAAAGATCCTACACCCAATACACTTTCACACATGTCCTGTTAGTGCCAGAAAAAAAAAGAAAAAACAAAGATACAAGCACCGATTTCCACTGATGATGAATAAGAACCCTTCACTCTCTCTCTGTGTTTACAGCTGATAAAAATGAACAGACACATACCATAGTCTGGCCTAAAGTCATACGGAGCACCTCGACTCTCAAGTAAAGGCTCTACGACAAAGAGGACGTCAGAAAAAACTAAAATGTAACCATCTGTTACTTCAAAGGTAGAGTCTCAAAAAAATTGTTGGGTGTTAGGAACTTAAAAGGCTCAGTGGGAAATCACTGCTTGTTCTGAATTGCAATGCAGGTGTTTTCAATGGTTGCTAAAATAGGATAAGTGCTCAGTTATATAATCAGAGAATTCAGGACTGTCAAGGTTAACCTTTACAGCCATCAAATCTTTTATTCTAACGAATGATTCCCACACCCCAGACAGAGTGAAGGAATTCTTGCTCAGGCGTTCAATGAACTGCCTTGATGTAATTAATGAGAATTGTGCCAAACCTGCCAAAAGCCAACATAATGCAAGGAAACGATGGTATTACATGCAGAGCCAATGATTTTCTGCAATCGCGGAAAATGGAGGGAATTCGCAGAATCAACACTTTGAAACGGAATCCACTGCTTGAAAGGGAACCTGCAAAATTTCCCTCTAAGAATGGCTTAAAAAGTAAAGAAAACTTTCTGCCGAGTACTACAAAATAGATGCCTGCCGAACCCATTTCAAATGCTTGCTTTTAATGAACGAATTACGCTGGAAACTTGCTAAATTACACCACTCTACCACATGATTGGGTCGTCCACGCCGCGCCGGTGCCGATACTTGTAAGCGCTATGGCGTGCGTGGGCCCCATTCGTGCAGCAGCACCCAGCACAGCAACGGTGCAGTAGAGTACATTGCGTATACACACATTGGCCGTTCACACGCGCACAGTACTAGCAATGAAATCAAAGCGCACTCAAGTTCAACTTAACTCGCCTTACTTACTTACTCGCCGATTTCATGCTCATGAAGGTATGAAACGGAATTTGAATTTCTGAAGCGGAATTCAAGATTTGGCAAAATGGAAAATACCTATTTTTGAAACGGAGAATCATTGGCTCTTCATATGTACTTGTACAAACTTAAACAAGCTCAGTAATGTCAGCGGAGCAACCTATCAAAGTTAGGTCAAGTCAACAGCTAGGCCTGGTGGTATTACAGGGTTAAATGTAGGTCATCTACTACGTTAAAAATCAGGACACAAAAATTACAAACAGATTTGAAAAATCTTTAATCATAAGGGACAAGATCTGCGATCATAGAAGACAAAGACTGCCCTCACCTCTTCGAGGCTCCGGTTCTCTCTCATACCCTCGATCGTATCCTCGGGCTCTGTAATCACTCACAGCACTAGCAGGTGGAGCTGACAAAAGTGGCTCTGACAAAGTTCAAGTAGGGAATATATTTGAGTTGAAAAGAGTGAAATATGTGACACCCTTCTGGTTCTTGAAGATTGTTGTTTTGGCATTGTTCCTCTTTTGAAGGATTTTGAAGAATTGAAAAGAAGAGTTGAAAGATGAATAGACTAGTACCTTTGCCGCTCCTGGGTGGGCCTGCCCTAGGCGCAGCCTGAGCTGGGTAGTCGTCCCTGGCTGGCTGGCTCTCTGGAAGGGGTCCACCATGGGGTCTGCCACCCCTCGCTGGATATGGTGTCACACGAGGTGAAGGAAGGCCTCCTCTGGCAGGTGGGCCTCCTCTTCCCACGGGACCACCCCTTCCAGGAGGTCCTCCGCGGCTGCTGGGGCCACCACGGCCCGGGGGTCCGCCGCCACGCCCTGGTGGTCCGAACGAAGGAGGTCCCTCCCCGCGGCCTCTTCCTACAGGTCCTCCCCTACCCCTGACAGAAAATGTAAGATGAGAGAGCTGATTTGTGAAACACTGCAAGATAACAACAGCCAAGTTTGATCAGCAACCTTATGTTGAAATCTAATTGATTTTCCCCTGGTTACCTATCCACAAATATGCATTCTGGGTACCAGCCAAAATGGACAGGCGGTTGATTAGCAGTCGCTGATTGAACCTAGCCCATGTTAACAACCAGATGACATCGGCCCACAAGCAAATGGAAATATCGTTCCATATTATGAAATAGGACTTGGAATAATATTTTGTGACTCGATCAACAGATGCAATTTCACATGTGTGAGTTTTTGAGTTTAAACTAGGCAGAAGACAAAAAAGACAATACAATCTCCACACATATTAACCCACTGGCTGCCTACCTGAAGCTGCCCCTTCCTCTATCCATGCCACGCCCACTTGTGCCTCCCCTTGCGGCCATCGTCTGTTGTTTAATGCCCTTCAGCGCCATGTCAACTTTAATGAACTTTCCGTCCAGCTCCTGAAAAGCAAACCAACAGCAGAGAAGACATCCATTATCTACCAAACTACGTCCCTAAAAGAAAGACATTTTGTTTCCACTTTAGTAACATCTCTGGTGAACTTTCCGTTTCATTCAAGTTCAAACAAATTTTTTTTTCACATCCATGAAGCTACCCACAGTTTGGATCAGTTGGATTTACAAAGAATTCAGCAAGATTAGGTCAGGATTAACTGTAATGACGATAATAATAGGTATTTATAGAGGCCATCCACCAACATTGATTCTCAAGGCACTAACACCATTAACGTCCCTGCTCATCGGGTCCATAAATATTTCTTAAACCATCTCAGCCCCCTGAGAGGTATCCAGCTTGATTCTACTGTCTTGGCACAAAGCGGCTAAACCAACCACAATACCTATCTCTGCCCTCACAGGCGAGGTACCAATTACTCCTGGGTAGGGAGAAGCAGTGAGTGACAGAGCGCCTTGCCCAAGGGTACACACATCATACTCCACGGCTGGACTCAAACCACACAACCGGCAGCTTTACTCGCAGACCACAAATTGAGTGCCTTAACCTTAACCGTGCCGAACCCAACAAGGTTATGGGGGATTTCAATGGTCCCTAGGGGGTTAACCATGCTGAACCCAACAAGGTTATGCAGGATTTCAATGGTCCTTAGGGGGTTAACCATGCTGAACCCAACAAGGTTATGGAGGATTTCAATGGTCCCTAGGGGGTTAGGGTTAAACCACGAGGCCACATCATTTTGCACTTACGCTTTCATTGTAGCGGCTGACGGCATCCTTGGCATCGTTGGCATTCACGTAAGTTATGAAGGCAAAGCCTCGTGATGTTCCACTCTCCTTATCTCTCATCAACAAAACTGCATCAAAAGGAAAAGCAGAAGTTTCACACACAGAGCCACAGTCAAACCTAACCTTCAGCAGAAGTTCCAGCTAATGGCTACTGCTGACCACAGCTGCATTGGACTTTTGCAGACTGGACGACGACAACTGAGGTTTTTCAGTTTGTCGTTCCTGGTAGCATTAATTGGTTAAGACAACATCAACTGTTCAATTTCCATATCACATTTGTATGTAAAACATTAATTGCCAGTAAGCACTCAAGCCGGCAAAAGTTTGTCGTTTGTACTTACGCTGGTCTATGGGACCAACTTTTGCAAACATGTCCTGGAGCTTTTTCTCATCTGTATCAAAGGACAGGTTTCCAAGGAAGATCTTGGTCGGAATATCGTGCTCGGCTGCTGGCATTTTGATGCTGGGTTCCTCGTACCTGTAAAAAAAAGCATGTGCACTAATTTATCAAAAACTCTGCCCGACATATGTACTTGCAGTTGGCTTTGGTAGCACTGAGAAAGTTCACTAGGCCAATGAAAGTTGATCTCTCAAGGTTCTCGTCAGCAACTTCTGGAAAAGTGACGAGGGTTTTTCATCATCTTTCATCGGCAAATTTCTCCACAAATTTGACAAGGGATTTTCCCAAAATTTCATCACACTCACACTATGCATGAAGGTTGATCTTATTTTAAAGGATCTTGACTGTGAAAAAAAAATTGAATTGCAGAGAGAATAGAATTTCAAAATTCAACAGGTCAAACAACTGCAATATATTGACCAAAAAACCCCAAGAAATCCTTTCTTTTCATACACGAGTTGACAGCGTGAATCAGAGGCTTTGAAAAACTTGCGGTACCACTCCCTAGTTTGACCTCAGGCATGTGCATTGTGTCAGTTTCCTGCCACACACCAAGCACCATCATATGCAACATGTGCTTTAGCCCATTCCGGCAACAGCGCGCTGATTGTCAAACAAAATTGGCTCCTCCCTTACCTGTCTGTATGCGTACAACCACACGTACATACACAAAAATGTACATCCACATGATACTGTGCATCTATCATCAATCATGAATAATTGTCTCCGCCCACATAACCTCACTGGCTTTTCCAAGAAATGCCTCTACTCACTCAATTTAATTTTGCATTCTATGTGTACAGTGACACAACTACAAGCTTTTCAAGTCATTTTGCAGGCAGGCCTAGGCAGGGACATGCATGAGTGAGGGCGCTGTTTATTTGGGAACTCATGTTCTTCATTAGGAAACTGTGATTAAAATTTGTCTTTCCGCAGGCTCTAGCTCCTCTAATTTCCAATTTCAAAATTTTTGGAATTATAAATGAAGCTAGCATTGAATTCCTTGATATAAGGCACGAATAAGAACAAACATTTATGGAAATGTGAATTTTAAACTTTTTATTCAAAATCCACACTCACATTTGTGTACAAAAAATAAGTTTACTCTGCATTTTTACCAATGAGTACACACATACAAAAAATCTCAAAAACATTGCTTTAAATCACTATTTCTTTGCTTTGCAGAGTCCAGTGTAATCCAAACTTATATCAAAATGTTTATGACACCCTCTCAAAGATCACTCCAAAAGAAAACACAAAAAATAAGGCTAAGGGGCTTGGTTAAAAAATGTATGAACCACCCTAGCCTAGGTCTTAGCAACTTCGAGAATTGACTCCGTTCGATTAGTGACTTTGAAGTTTCAATTCTCAGAGTAGGGCTAAGCTTGTTCAAAAAATACAGTAAGTAGGGCCTAAAAAGAAGTAAAATTGCACATCGAAATCTCACAATGTTGTCGACTTTCCATGGAAAATAAGTGCTGTCACAATGCAAACTAGGGCCTACCATGAAATTCTTTATTTCCCCCTCCACGTGTCGGAAATAGACGTTAAGCCACAGAGAGCTAAATAAAACCACACATCATGCACGTGCTGTCATTGTCACATGTACATGTACAGTACACGTACGGTGTGTATTCTCTAACGTTAAGCCTAGTTGCAAAATTCCTTTGTCGTGCTAAAATTTGCGTCGATTTCGAGAAGAATTCCTCACCGTTCTTACCTTGCATACAATTTGACGAATATCAGTTCTAACCGTATTTACACACGCTAATAACCACTTAAATATTTTCAAGCATTTCTTCGTAAATGGGGAGAAACTAAGGATATTTGTCAAGCTCTGGCGACTGACCTTTCTACTGCATTTGACAAAATCAGAAAGAGGACGCTTGATTAATGAGCATGCGCAGATGAAGCTTTTAGTATGCGCAGAGACATGATTAGCATTTGGCGCATTTAATTTTAATATTGATAAACTGTTCCACGACGAAACGAAGACGGATGCATGACTTGGGTGATACCGGCGGGACATTTCCGGTAAAATTCTTCAGTTGTATTGAAAGTAATTTTCCAAAACAATTTAAAACAAGAGTAAAAAAGTTCCAGGCCGAGGAGTCCCATGCATTTTAGAATGTCATCGTGCGTATATAAATCTATAGACTATTCTCGTTTTGCCTACAACTTGTATGGCCGGCCAAACTTGTTTATAGAAATCTCACCTTTTAGTTGGGCTTCTATTTTACCTCAAATTCCTTGAAGTGGACATTTATCCTATTAATTTTAAATCGAGTTATTTTTCATTTAGTATTTAGTCGTACGTGTATTGTTATCCGGTATTCTGATAGCTGCGTGGGATTTTTAACACTGCGAATTATTCCCTTACTTTTGTACCGACGGCCGGCCATAGTTTTAGCAGCCGCTTGTGGGAAAAACGACTGTGACGTCAAAAGAGCAGACCCTACATTTAAATGCTGCCATTCGCGGTGGAATAGTTGAAAGTCATATAAATCGTTGGATTGAAAGCACACCTGTTAACACATCAGTATTAAACTATACAAAATTACAAACAAAAGTCTGACTATAAATGCTAATTCACTTCGGAAACCTTTATTTCCGAATAATCCTTGCTAAAACATCAAAGTTACATATTACATACAGACAGATTACAATTTAAAATGACCTAAATTAACAGTTGTTGATAAAAATTCAGATTCGTGTGTTTGATTTCTATTTTTGTTGAGCAAGTCGTACGTGCCCGCACATACAGTGCTGAGTAAGTTTGGTCATCAATCACAATGTACAGCACTGACTGAAACTTGTGAATTTTCTCCTCATTACTCAAACTTTACCACGTCCTAAATACTGGGAAAGATATATGCAGATTTTTTTATGGTCAAAAAAATAATGTTACAAGATCATGGCGTGAAGGAGAATGATTTAAAATACAGTTCTTGGGTCCCAAATTAACAGTTTCACCTCATCAAACTGTAAGTATTAATGATTAATTCCCAGCTGTCTGAATAATGTGTCACCTATGGCAACCACTTTAGCCACTTGAAGATTTTGAGAAGTTTTTTCTTTCCAGGGAGTACCCGCCCTCTGGCTGTCGTCTGCGTAGTGACAACATCGGGGATGAGGGCGCCATTATCGATTCTCACCCGAAGGGTCGGCTTTACTCTGATCCCCTCATCCACCTCACCTCCGCTCGCGCTCGGCGTGGACACGTCGACATCGGGAATCAGGGCGCCATTGTCAATTCTCACACGCACGCGTGGTTTCAATTGGCTGCCTGTGTGATCAGCCTCCTCTCCTCTGATTGGCCAGACGCTGCCGACGTCACGGGCATGGCGTCTTCCCGCTTTATGCCAGGAAAGGTAAAGGAGTGTTAGTTTAAATTTGAGATGGAGCCTGTTCTTCGTGTGGAAAACGGTGTCTTCAAAATCTCCTTGGTAAACCTGTGAAATGAGAGTGAACATGGAAAATATACAAAAATCAAAGAAGCAAGCAAAACAACATCTATGGTGCGTTTCAATTTTGATTGACCGTTTTATATGCAGGGACCCAGCATACAGTAGATTATGCCCCCCCATTTTTTTTCTTGAGGAGTAACTGTTTATTGCAGTCCCAGCCACTCGTGACTGTTTCATGTAAACCACATGTTATGACAGGGAACGGTTGAAGGACTGAATAATGAAAATGGTGCAACTTCCACTGGGCCACTGAAGGGTTGTGTGTGAGCCTTTGTTCTGGGGTCGTCCTGACCCCATGCTTTGACCAGTTAGCACATGAACACTGACTCCTACACTACTCAACCAGTGTCCACTTTACTGTGTCATTTTACAGAGTTCATCATTTTTGATGGGCATCTCAGAGTAGTAACTTTCTTGCTACCCGGGGTACAACAGACAGATGGATCGATGGACAATATAGATCGATCGATTGATTTTTGATTGATTGTATGATTGACTTCAAAGCAAAATTAACATAAATATTTTGCAGCTTTTTCACCGATGTTTACTTGATATTGTGACGTGACAGAGGGCGCTAGTCACTAGGCGCGGTGTAAGGTTGTAGATGGCGCTCTGCCCAGTAACAGAGGCAGATGTTAGGCGCGCATAGCTGTGTGTTAAGCGAGCGCGGTGCATAGGCTCCGCCTTGTACGTTGTGCGATAGGGCAGCAGAAGTCACTGCTTGGTCACGTGAGCGCGGGCGCGGTATCACAGCCAAAGATTGTATAGCGCCGCGTTATACAATCTTTGGTCACAGCAGCGCGAAAGCTATAAAACGCGCGAGCAGGCGCTATATAGGCCAAAGATTGTATAGCGTTATTCAATCTTTGCGCTAGGCCGGTTTAGGCTTAGTATAGTAGTCCTGATCAAGGGCTGATCCTGAGGTAAGGGTCGAGAATCCTGTGCAAGGGTTAAAGTCACCTAGCCGAGTCGAGTGTGACTGTGCATAAGTCCGAGTGGTGCGTGTGCTGTTGAAGGGCTCGGTTGAGGGGCTAATTGGTGGTGCGGTATAGTTCCTCATAGGAGCTTGCGGTCGATGCATACATGGGCGGATTGCTATCTCGTGACGTGAGTTGCGTGTAGCGCTAGCGCAGCCCTGACAATAAGCCCCATAGACTTGCTAAAGTCCCTGATTCGGCACTGGATGCCCACAATTAATTGTGGTGTTCGCTGCATGCTGGGCGAAGTCCGGTCACGTATAATTATAATCACGCAGTCTCCCCGTCAATAGCGCCCTCTACTGGTGTATTGGTTGAGTGTGTTGATGAATAAGCCAGCCGCTTATTAATTGTTGTATATAAGTCAGGTGTCCAGGCGAAGTTTATTTCAAGTCAGGTCTGTCTGGGTTACGTCATTAAGTTTTGACCAATCAGATTAGCCATCATCTCGACGAAGACCAACTTTCTTGGGGCACGGTATACTTCGGTCCCGACGGACTCGTCCCTAGCCGCTCAGGGACTCTCCGGCGTGCCGTCCGACGCGCCGCGCCTCGAGGAGGAGGGCGCCCTCGCCTTGGTCGGAGGGGCGCGGCGTCACAATATCCACACTTTTAATTAACTTTCACAAGCATTAGAGAGATATCTTTACCTTGAGAATGTGGAGCGCCTTACGGACAAGAATGAATTTCAGGTCGTCAGAAACCACCTTCACCTCCTGAAAATTACCATACTATAAATAAATGAACAATACAAACATATATATCAAACTGGTGTTTTGACATTAGCACATGAAAGCAACATGAAAATGTCGCAAACAGTAAACTCTGAAGCATGTAACTATGCAAGGCTCATTTCCAAGGCAATTGTACATCATCCATCTGACCCGAAATATAGCCTTCGCGGGTTGTTTGTTTGGAGGCTTCATGTTACTGGTTTTCAAGGCAAGCCCTATACTCACGGACGTCGCTAGACCTTTTTGAAGGGGGGAGGTGGGGTGCCACATGAAATTTCCTAATGGACCGCGACGCAAAACGAGTGTACTGTAGTCGATTCCCTAGCCAAACAACTAGGCACCTATTCTTCCATTTTCTCCCCCTTCCTTTCATTTTCATTCCCCGTTCGTCGTTTTATATTTTTCTTTTGCCGACAAAACTAACCAGGGGGGAAGGGGGGTGTGACTCCTCCCCCCCAGCGACGGCTTGCCTATACCAAGTAAGTATGCATTGTACCTTGAGAATAGATATTGCCTTCAGGATAAGAGTGAGTTTCAGTCGAGCTACCACGTGACCTGCAAACGTTGATGTCAAAGGCTTATCCTGTAATTTTGTAAAAGAAAGGGCGGAAATAGATGAAATCGATAGGTTTGAAGGAAAAACCTAAGTCACGGGAAACGCACAGAGCAACAAGAGTCACAGAAAAAAATTCTTAAATTTCAAGTGAACGACATGATTTCGTGGGACAAGAAGATGAAATTACTAAGAATCCTTGTCAGACTTACTTCTAGCAGTGTGATAGCCTGTAGTATCAGACGGATTTTGAGTTCATCAGTCATTTCGTCATTGCTGGGGAGAAGGGAGTTCACGTAGTCAGGATTTTCACCCTCCAACGTCTTCATAAAGTGAAAAAGGTACGATGAATCAGAAAGTACAATACACGCATATATGTACAGGTACGTACATGTAGGTTAATTACTGCGACATGACAAAGCAGTATGGTTCAGACTCAATGCACTTTTATTCCTTTAACAAAAATCTTGTTTTTGATATTGAGAGTTATTTGTTCTTGGTTGTTCGTTTCACTAAAATTGATAAACAAGAGTGAAGCATCGTACATGCCGGTATCAAATCAAATTACAAATACTTGAAAGTAAAAGGTCAGTTTTTAGTCTCAGGGTTCTCCGTGCACGATGTGTACACAGCCTCTCAATCTTATCTTTATTCTTTACCTTTAATATATCGAGAGCCTTGAGGATCAATTTCAGTTTGACGTCATTGGTCATGAAATCAGGAAATATCTCATCAACCATTTCATCTTCATCACCTGGTGTCAACTGCATGAAAGAAATGTTAAGAACGAATGATTTATATGGAAAAATATCATGATTTTTATGCCCAACGATTTCAGTTTGTCTGAATATTGTTTCCTAATGAAAACCAAACCGACACGCCGTTACAGAGCGCAAAATGTTCAAGAAAATTTTAAAAACACGTGCTTACGGTTGGATCACCATCAGGAGGCAGGGCGCCCTCTGTGCTGTTCATCGAGTCCATCTCCCCCTTGTTTTTCCAACCAAGGAGGTTAGTGAAGAACACCATGTAGCCTCCGGCCACGACGAAGACGGCCACGGCAACGACTACGGCGAGGAGAATGATCTTAACACTCATCTTATACTTTCACCTTTCTTTTCCGGTCTGGAATGCTAATTGTGCAATATTGAAAAGGTTCTCAAAGAGCTGCGAAGTGAAGTTCAGACGATCTCGAATCTCTCTAAACTGCTAGTATAAAGATGGAGTTTGAAACTATGTAGACAGTAGGACAGTGTGATGAATCCTTTCTCCTGTGCAGTAACTCCTCTAGAAGGCTTATCTAGCTGCTTTGATTTGTGCCTCTATGGACTCCCGTATTTATAATATTTTGATGGAATCACTGCCTAGGAAAAGGAAAGGATAGCTAATTAGCTACGCGTGGTCCGGGGCACTCCTTGACGGCCGTGTATGACACAGGGCTCCCCGGGTTGCGAACATTTCCTGGGTTAGGTTTGTGCACTGAGGACATCTCCATTTCACATCTGGTGTATTTATAGACACCCAACGAATATTCTAGTCTTCCACGTGGGAAGTTGTACAATTAGGGAACAGGGTGGGAATGTTGATCGTTAGTTGTTTATAATACGACAAATTCCGATGGATCGATAAGAAGGGTTCGCCGGCCACATTCTCAAAAATGTCCAGGACACCAAACCTTAATATGCTGTTTAGTAAAGACATAGTAGCTCTCGATAAAAAGCAAGACAAAAACAAATGTTGAAATTCTCCAAATATTTTCAGTTTTGGAGACTCTGCTTGCTTTGCATAAGGGGGATCAGTGGGTTTTTGGCGGGGGGGGGGAGCTTTTTACGGCACCATATGGAACGGGCAGAGAAGGCGTTAGTCAAGGCCCGCCGAAAGGCGTAGAGACGAACAACGAAATTCCAAGCATGCAGCAGACATTAGGTCACGTAATTATTGTACAAGTTCTTCGACCACCACACCAGTAACCAAACACTTGGAAACGATACGCACCCTGTCCAACCCTCCAACCCTCAAATTAGTCAAGACCTTCTTCCCAGGGCTTCTTCCTGCAGCACACAATGAGTAAGGGAGACGTCAGTAACAATCAATCCTACAGAAACGGGGAAAGTCAGGAAGTGAGAGTACCGTCACATGGAAGTTGCTGGGGTAACAACAATACCTCCGATTGATCAAATCATGAAGCTTTGCCATTTTTTGTTTTTTCTTTTTCGATATAGGTCAACTTCCTTTTTTGCCGGAGCCAGGAAGTCGCTTGAAGGGCGTGCATCGCGTGCACGAAGTAAAAGGGTGCAGAACAGACCCGGTTTCTAGACAGATTGCCAGGGTGGAACAGTGGCCAATGGAGGAGGGCACATGGGGCACCGCCTCGGTCCCCAGTCAACCTGAAAAACCTTTTTTTTAAATTAAAAAGATTCAAAACAAGAGCTCTGCATTTGAAACTTATGCCCAAACCACAGCGTGTTCCCCTGCAAAGATAGGCCTGGAAAACCTCTTGCATATCGGGGCCTAGCCTGCTTGCTATAAACTACAACAAAGACGAACATCGAGTTTTAAGATAACGCACAAATAGGGACAGGGTTCAGCTGCCATGGAAATGATGTCGATGTAAAATAATTGTGGGTGTCCTAAACTCCTGGAAAGTGCATTCTCTCCGGCTTGATCGAGGGAGTCAGCTTGACAGTGTCAGCTTTACATGGAAGTACGGTGTTTGGGCACAGCACGCGAAGCGTCTGGTTCTGCGAGGATGGGCCATGAAATGACAAAAAGACCGGACATAACTGCATGACGGTAATGACTATCCCTCCAAGAGGGGGCCGGGGCTGAACAAACAAGGCACTGCAAAATAAGCAGGATCTTTATTCTACTTCGATGATAGCGTAATACTATAAAAACCTGACCAGATGGCAGCAACTTCATTCCACACTGTTTGCAGCCACTTCAACCACTCCAATCATCCTGGCGACACGAGAATTTTGAAACCTTCTTTCAGATTTCATTCCACAACACTGTTCATCATGAGGGGCGATACCTTCTTCCCTGGACTCCTGCTTATTGCCTCATTGGTTTATCTCACGGTGGCTTCCCCAACTTCCAGGGCAACACAGGAGCACCGCCATGCTGACATTGTTGTCTTGGCAAACCAACTGGTAAGAACTCTCGTTTTTCTGACGCAAATTAGTGGTTCTTTTGGTTTCGTGTGACTGTGTACTCCAAGAGAACTTTGTGAAATTCACATGTAAAAAAATTCATACACAGAAATAACAAATAGCGACCCAAAGTTTCAAACGAAGGACAGTGGCAAATAATTACTTTCGGGCCCTATGTGTGCGTTACTTTTGCATCTTTTCAAAGTGGTCCAGAGCTCCATGAAATTCCTTTTGTATCCTTTGACGTAACAACATTTCCACTCAGATTAAAAAAGTATTCAGTAAGCTGCACTAAAATCCGGACCTTCTATTCAAAGAATTTAATCACAGAATTCTCATGTAACACATCATCATTACTTCTTGTACAAGCATAGGTGGGAATATGTCTCCCTTTAACTAAATAATTTAAATTAAAGAAGCTCACGTGATCTTAGCTTTAAAGGTCTTCAGGCGCGCTATAGGCTTAATTTGTAGCCCATTTAGACAACACTAAAACAGCCTGTGGATGGCTTATTTTGTAAACCGGGATTTGGAAACAGTCTGGTTAGTTACAGTGTTTTCCTCTAACAAATCCTGTCACTTTTCTTCCTTTCGCTTGATTTTTTTTCAGCCATGGGAACTGCGTGTTTTGTACGACATCATCATCAGCCCCTCCACCGATGAGATCCGGAGAGAGAACTACATCTGGCGGGCGTTTGAGCTCCTCAAATACAAGAAGTACAAGGCTTATGTGTGGTTCTACGACTGGCTGGTGTACCAGAGCGGTTACGACGGACGCGGGCCAGGCAGGCACACGCCGAGGGGCGGCCCTGGGGGACGGACCCACCGACACGGCCGTGGCGGGCCTGGTGGACGCACGCGGGGGCACGGCGGTCCTGGACGGCGGACTCCTCGTGGTGGAAGACACCATCACGGACGGCATTAAGGGACCGGGGAAACAAGCGCCGAGAGCACCTATTCTCAAGTTATTTTTTTCAATCTTATTCCACGGTGTCCTCCTATGAATGTACAAACTACTGAAACCCACTGTGATGGCGACGGGGAACGAACATTGTTTCAGAAAGAACGGGAAAAAAGGAACCGTCTCATCAAAGGCGACTGTTTTGCCAACACATCAAAAATGTTTTCTTCATCTTTCAAAGCATTCTATATATCACACCCCTTTTTCCTGGGGTCGCCAGTTGTCATTTAATCATTTGGTAAAATCCCACAGCCATGGGTTATATGATTATGTCATTACGCAGGGAAAACCTTTACAAGTAGATAAACATTACTGGTATCTTAATGTTTAAACTTCTAATCTTGTGAACACTTAAAACCACAGCAGGAAGTAAAGGGTAACAATGTCTACATTCCTTCAGTGGAATCGGTAAGAACTAGAAAGGGATGCACAATCAGTGTGTGTTTGTCTTTATTTCCAACACTTACATACATTTTAGAGCATTTATCCCAATGACCAAGTACAAATATTCATTTGGCTAGGCGCCAGAACTCCTTCACGCAAAGGACACTATTTTCAAGACGACTTTCAGCCCTGCTTGATTTCTTGTCATCCAGTTATCATAAGCCAAGAGAGTAGATAGAAGGACGCTGCTGAATTCATGAATGGGTTGATACTGCATGTGATAGGCCGGTCAGCCACTCCAGTGTATACTTTTCAATCCTAGTTTGTCATAATTCTCCATGCCCACAATACAGTTGAGCCTCGTCAGTAAGAGCACTGCTTATATAACACTCTACTTATACCAATGAAATGTTTGAAGTTTCAATCCTTTGTTCTTCATTGTTTCCATTCCTGATAATACGAGATTCCTGATAACAAGGCTACCTGTGAAGACTGAAGGACCTCTTCTTGATGAAGTTTGACTGTAATGTGTATGAACCACACTCCGAGAAGCTCAATTCCCCATCTCGTTATGGAAGAAGGCCTTAGAGGAAAAAAACTGCAAAATAAATTTACCAACCAGAATTCTGCACGGTACCAGTCAGGGTACAAAGAATTGTTTTAACAAATCAGCTGGTAACCTATCTTTACTTCACATGTGTTCAGTTAAATTTTTCCCCAGTAGCCAGCCGAGGACCTGTCTCACACATCTGCAATGTATAAAAATGCCACTTTGAATATCCACCTGCTAAGTGAAAATTAAGCAGGGAACCTATCACAAGTAGTGTACCTGATGATGCACTATTCATAAAACTGTTGTAAGCTTAGTGGACCTGTCTAAATTACCTGGCTGGACTGAATACAACACACTAAGACTGGAAGCCACAAGTGAGCGGCTAGTCCGTTTCCCATTGGCTCATGCGTTATTTCTAGCCCTAGTCAGGTAATTTGCTCTCCAAAATGGCTCCCCTCCTCTTCCAGAGAGGTGTCCTTTATTCCAGCATGTTCTTTCCTTCATCTGCCCTGTGACTAATGACCAGTTGTGCTGAGGAAAACCTTGGAGTGAGGTGAGTCTTCATGCCTTAATCTCCTCTTAATCCTCGACGTACTCAAACGGCTCCGGAGGCTCTGGTTCCTCCTCTTCCTCTTCCATCTTGGGACCTCCGGCTGCAAGCAAAGCGAACAAGGACATACTATTCAGTCAAATTCAAACACTTGTCAGCTGAGAGCAAAATTCACAGTGACGTCAAGCGATATCTGACAAATACCATCAGCAGACTAGTCATGAAGCTGGAAAAAAGGACACTTCATGAATTCATAAAACATTACCAATAAATGACACTGCCCGAGCACAATATTTAATTCTTCAATTTAATCCCAATTTGAGATACAAAATGAATCGGAAGAAACATTAAAAAGTATTTTTATCAAAACAGAAAATTACGCCAGAAGATACAGATGTTCCTATGATAATAGTTAGTAGTGGTAGTTTATTCATTTATAAAGCGCAAATTTCATAGAGATATAATCAAATGCACTGAACAATGAAGACATTAAGCGTGGAACAATGAATACATTTAAACATGGTTGAGCCGATGGCATACAAGGGCGCCTCGGGCAGCCGCCAAACGACCCACATTCACCAACATCAGTAAAGGGAGACAGTAAGAAGCAGTTACAGTTTTAGAGGTGGGAGGAAAACCCCAGAGGAATATTCTGGGTAAAACCCACGGAGTCAGGTAAGGACTGAAAACCCAATCGGCATACGGACCGGGCCGGGAATCAAACCTGGAACCACAGAGGTGGAAGGCGAGGAAAGAACTACCTTGCCACCCTGACTTGGACCCAACCCATCCAAAGCCTTAAATCCCTATCAACTTACCTGGGACATTCAGTACAATCTCCTCCGGCTCATCTTTTGCAGTGTCCTTCATCATGATGATGCCACCGTCGGATAGCTGAAAACAATAACAAATCATCCAGGTGCATCCTTAACAATGAATGGCAGTCGACTGGTGCCCTTTGGTGTCGCAAATAGAGCACCCCCCCCCACACTGTTTTTCATTCAAAGACAATCTTAATTATGTTGTGCGGTTAAAGAATCCAAAGCCCACTGTCAACATTTAAGCACTTTCAACTGAAGACCAAAGGCCTGCAACTTTGACATTTTCTCCAGCTGCCTGAGAGGTCTGCTGCCCTCTAGTGAGGTCAGATAGGGTCCCAGGCACCCTGATGTCACATCATTAAACAATAAAAACCAAGGAATATTGGTCTTGGACCTTACACAAGCTGCCCAAAAAAACCCCAAAACTTAGCTTTTACTACACGTTTTTACTGTGCTATTTTGAAATGCACAGCCAAGTTTTCCCTGGGATCCACTCTGATCCACGACAACAAAACGGCAAATCTTTCTGAACTGGGCTTCCGAAGTTATGGCTGTGTCGTCTATTCACATATGCCAAATTATTTGAAACTGGTGAAGACCTAGACTTAGTCAAGATTTGGGTGCAGCCCGAGGTCCCAGCACCCTTACACCGACTCATTGGACACCTGAACCAACCTGTTTGACGGGTAGGTATCTGGAGCCCTCCATGGTGCACAGAACCTTGAGCTGGGGGATCATGATTCGGGCCGGTGAGGACAGGATCTCAAAGGAAGGCTCCACCTTCTTTTCTTTCTTTTCCTCCACCCCTTCCCCCTCTTTGGTCGTGGTCTCCTCTTCCTTCTCTTTCTTGCTGTCTTTGTCCTTCTTCTCTTTGTCTGCATCTTTTTCCTCCTCCTTGATTGGCTCGTCCTTGGAGATCGACAATTTGGATTCAAACATTTGAAATTATTTTTGCTAACCCCAATCTCTCTGTCCAGAGGGGAATTGTACAGTAGAAGTGTGCTAAAAAATATCAGAACCTAGATCTACTACTTCCCCCTAAACAAAAACAGGAGATTTCTACCTTTCCTGCTGACATTCAGTGCTCTAGCACCTTCTGCTCCATTTGCACCAGCATGCAAGTTTTAATATTCACGAACCAAACGACAAGCACAAAAACTCACATCTGACTAACAATGGACTAAAAAAAGGTGGCCTTAGACTTTGCACTGATCACTGTCATTTCCTTGTTGGCGTGCTAAAAAAAGAAACTGCATGTCTGCCATCAGAATGTTGCACTTCTTGTTTTTTGCAGAACTTAAAAGAAACCTCTCTTCCAAGGGCAGGCATGACACACTACAGTCTTAAGCTTTGCCTTCTTGCAAAAATATGTACACCAGGCCCATGTCCTTTATTACTGAATTAAGCCTCTTTATTTTTCCTGAAGGACTGACAACTCTTTGAATTTTTTTTGGTGCACGTTATACCAAAGACTTGAGGAATGACCCAACCAAATTTTTGGAGGGCCAAAATTGTTTTGGTGGTGCCCAAAATTTGGAAATATCTACACTTAATCATTTTTGACCTTTCAGAGGGGTAGGGCTTACTTTTGGCACCTGATTATGCCCTTTGAAGGAAGGGATAGTCCCCCAACACCTTTCCCTAATTATAATTTTTGAATCTCCTCAAACTTGCTCCATTTGAGAAGGAGGGTCACGGCACCCCACAAGCCCCCTCTCACAGAAACGGGTGCCTCTTGGACAGGTACGTACCACCTCCATTTTGGACTCTGCCTCTTTACGCTCCCGCTTCTTGGCCTTGGCTGTGATGGACAGCACGGCTGTGGCCACTTTCTCCTTCTCTTTCTCCTTGGGCGTCTCCAGAGGGGGTGTGTACGCATACATTGATGGCTTGGCATTGGAGCGGATCTCCAAGACTGGCATCTGGGAAGAGAGGGTTGGGAAAGGAGAACGTGTAAACATTGTTCTGCTTTTCCCAAATAGGTTCAGGGCTGTGAATGGCAAGCCTGTTTTGGGATACAAAACTGAACAGTTCCTGTTGACTTTTGAAGAAGCGTGTTATTTAGAAACTGTGCTCAGGTATGCTTGTGATGGCAAAAACAGCCTCAGGGTCTACGATTTTTTGTTTACATTTCCAAAAATGGCAAGATAATATTGGATAAAAACAATGGCCGTTTTTTCCCCTTGAAGATCACATCAGCATCAATATCATCGTGAAATGAGTTTGTAAATGGAAACATTACTGTCTGCAGATGATAAGATAGACATAGAAAACTTACTGAACAGGCCTCGTTCTTCAATTTTCCGTCAAACCAACAAAATGCAAAATAAATTTACCAAAAAACACCCAAGAAATCTCCCCCAAAAACCACAAAGCAGAGGCAAAACCAAATTGGTCAACAAACTCTTTGCTGAGTAGCTGGTAACAGTCAACATATGCTACATATGCTCCTCACAAATCACTTATTATTTTAAAAAAGAAAAAAAAAGGAAAAAAAGAAACGAGAAAAACCTACATTTAAGAGTCTATTTTATCAATTCTGAATTTTCACATGTCTAATTTATGTCTTATCACCCAAGGTTTTCTTTCCCATTTTGGTGAATAGTATTGCATTGCCAACACTTTTGTAAATATCACTAATACAGATGGACGTAAAACAGGACTTTTAAAGGGTAAAGCAGGCACAGGTGACACATCAAGGTGATGCCTGCTGACGTGGGAGTAAATAGCTCCTCATGCTCCTTAGGGAAAAAAAATCATTAATCAATCCTGTAATTCTCATTTGGGTTATTGTCAACGTTCATGGTGGAGATTACATTTAATATTAAATGACCCTGTCTGAAAGAGGACACTATGCGGTCTACACGGACGTCACTGGTCAGCAGATGTGTGCAGGCAGAAGTGGAGGTCACTACCAACGCAAATGTGAAATCCAGAAGCCTTGGCCGCGGTATTCGCTACAACCAATTTCACGAATGAATGATAAGTGCTTGCTCAATTACTCCTGACCGATACCTGCATATGACGTGAATATATTTCTCTGAAATCCATTCGTCTGCTTTTAAACTGAAATATTCAAATTTTGTTATGGTTTGATTTATAGTTCAATTTTATAGTTCAATACAGTTCAATTTAGGTCTTAAGAAATCGTGTGGGTGAGGGCAAAGGAAGGGATAAGGGAAGGGCCGTCAAATATGCCTCATGTATTCAGGAACTGTGCGTCACAGGTTTGAAATTGAACATCTCGCAATTAAGAACTCTTTGGGTCTCTATGGGCCAATTTTCTTGAAACATCTCCCTTTGTCACAGCAAATTTTAAAGCTGTTTACACAGGCATGTGCCAATGCCATGACATACATTCCATTTTTGTAGACAGAGCAAAACTTCGACCACGACACAGGAATATCTGAGGAAGGCCAGAGTACACTGGCCGAAACGTCGAGACCTGCTCTCATCGGTTCTTTTTAGAACCACACCTCTTCACAAAAGAGATATTTCCCACATGGTGTACCCGCAAACCTTTTTCTGTTTAACACTCCCACCATGCAAAGCTTCAAATCTTACTTAATATCTGAAATGCTCAACTACAACGGACCAACGTGCATCACAGAGACTGACACTGAACATCTAATATTGGAGCTCCTCATGTTTCGAGACTTTTGATATCTATGACTGACAGCAAGCAGCGAAGGAGACCCAGCAGGAGACAAATGGAGAGAAAGATTGAACGACTGCACAAAGCTACCGACATCATCCAAGAGGAGTTCGACTGACGGATAAGGCCAACAGGGAGCTTTCCAGACTGAGAGAGAACGTTAATGCCATAAGGGAAGAGGACGTCCATGGCTGTATAATTTATGATGCCTTGGTGGAGAAAATAATTCGGTCTGTTGGTATGATGACACTCAAAACACGATTCCAGAAGAAAGATGCTTCAATTTGTCAGTTGATGAAACCTTAACCAGTTTTAATTCAATCAGTTTCAATATGCACTTGGGTTAAGGTCAAAGACATTTCTAAGCGGCATGTAAACAATACATTCTATCAACCCCAGTAAGCCCTCAGGATTAAAAGGGGCATTAAACAACTGCGACTCATTAAAAATCAATGAAACATGGTGCAGACTTTGATGGATACAGGCTGGTTCGCGGTAAAAACAAATCAACAAAATCTAAGACGTTACCTTCAAGTCAGCATTGAGTCCGACCACGGTTGCCGGGGTGAAGGAGAGGGACAAGAAGTGGGCCAACGGGAACCAGTACCAGAAATGGATGAAGACGAGAATGCCTACCACGGAGGACATGTGGGTGTGGCCAGAGGATGACTGCATGCTGATGGTCATGTTACGGCCACCTGTCAATCATCCCCCAGGTCAGACAAAAAAAGACAAAAGATGACAAGTGAATGGAAAACGGTGATGCAATGAGCTCAACAAAGTCGTGAACTCTGAGGGAAAAAATTCGGGGTTTATTTGGGGGGGATGGGGGTGATACTGGTTCCTAAGCAAGAGAACTCTGACCGGAAACATTCTTTTCAAGCAAACTTGAATTCTCAGTTCTGATTGGTAGATCCATGGCAACAAACAGTGTGACATGCAACTGTGTTGCATGGTCCACGTCAAACCCTGCATTAAACAGTGTGACATGCAACTGTGTTGCATAGTCCACGTCCAACCCTGCCTTATGCGCTGTTCTAACTCTGCGCATTCCGCTGATTTCATTTGAAAAGCCAAATGCACAGCTGCAAAGCTTACTGTAAATTCCAACCTGATGTGTTTGCGCAAATAGGCCCCACTAATATCTTCACTGTGCATTAAGTTTGCTTGAAGATAAATTGGTTATCACACTCACGCTCATATGATAACTAATATGAATGGATATTAAACATGAGCATATCTTGCCTAGTAAGTGTGAAATTTAATCTCACTTGAATTACCACCCACACAAAGGCTAGCAATGATGTTCAGAGAAATCTGGGAGACAACTTGGGCATGAGGCTTTAGTCTGTTCAGTGTTATTTAAATATGCTAGGAAAAAAAAAGATACCAATAAAAAATCAATAAATTCACCAGACCAAAACCAACGTTTCGTTTAGCAAACAAACGATGCAACAATTGTAACCTGTCTGTAAAAAGCGTATTCTTCAATTCTCTCTAAGAATAAAGGCAACAAAGTTATGGAAAAAATGTACCAAATAACAGAACAAACGAGGACCAAGCACAAAACCTTGCCCTCTCCCACGCTAATTAGTTACTGGATCACTCAACTCTCATAGAGAGAACTGTCAACCTAACAAATCAACTGTCATAGTGACGAAGCCGTAGCCATGGAAACACCCCATCAAGACACCCACCAAGACACCCACCAGTATGTTGCTCAATCTGCACCCTTATGGTAACTCCGTTGGGCCGGAGATAAAAAATTAATTCATGTGGACATTCTTGTACAAGATGTGTTAAACAGACCGGCCTAGTTTGATTAATTTGGTAATACCGATGAGTGCAACACAAGACATGTTTTACTCTTTTTTAAACACACTTCTCAAAAAGCGGACAAATAAATGACCTCATTACCATTAACCCTAACCCTCCTCAATCCTTCACCTGTTGGAGGACCGAGGAGTGTTAGGGTTAATCATTAACCCTAACCCTCCTCAATCCTTCACCTGTTGGAGGACCGAGGAGTGTTAGGGTTAAGGTAATGAGGTACTATAAAGGTAAGGGGGTGCTACGGCAAAATTAATATAATCACGCAGCAAAAATACAGTTTAGATATTCTCTACTTCAAAAAAAATTCTTTCTTATCTTTGAGAACTACCATATCTCACCTGCATCAATGATACCCTGGGCAAGGATAGCACCAAACTTGGCCATCACGTCTTCGTGTTTGTCACTGATAGTTTTGCTGTACAGATTGCGGAATGTGGTCACCTTCCAATGAAAATACACAGCTTTCATTTCTTTTGCTGATGTGGCATTCTGTTTCAACTCATTTACATTCTTAGTACACAGTTCCATGAAACTGGGGCACTGAGCCAAATGGTAAGACATGAATGCCATGCATATGTACTGTGTGATGAAGAGAAATCGATTTTAGGGATGCTCGTTCATCATATCTGTCGTGCCTTCATGACTTATGAAAACTGGCTGAGTGTACACTTCACCATAAGCATGGGCAACAGTGCAAGTTGCCAGTTGTTCTTTACTGGTTAGTGTGAGTAAGTCACGCTCTGCTGCCTCGAGATCCTACGCAGTGATATAAAGAGCGTGACAATGAAAACTTGAATGAATCAATCAACGGAATGATCAATCAATTACAACAGGTGGACCTACAGTACCTTGGGACAGGTGTTCTCGTTGTGCTGTATCAGGACCAGGGCCGATGCGATCAGAGCACCTTGCCTGACATAGTTGACTGAATCACTGATCATTGGTTCCAGCAGTCCCAATGCCTCCTGGGAGGTTTAATCAATCCAAAATCGAAATCAATCAATACCGATCAATACACATAATGCTCTATTTAGCACTTAGTGTATCACTGATTTATTCCTTGATTGATTTCAAAACATATTTATACAGAGTAACATTGTTCAGCAATAGTTGTTTTTAAAATGGCTGTTATCAAAACAATACACGTCGAATAAAGTGATTAAAAGAAGAAAAACACACCAGACATATCAAAAGGAATATTCACTAAAAAGATACATCTTGTAAACTGTGTCCTTATAACAACTGTTCAGGATTCATTTCAAACAAACGTTTTAAGTTGTTTTTAAAAGGCGGTGACACTAGTGTCATCTTTAAGGAAATCAGGTAAGTTGTTCCACAGTTTTGGTCCAGCAAAGTTTAGTCAACGTTTTGCTAGCTCAAATCTAGGAATGGGGTGAAATAAATTCATTGGATGAGACCTAGTCATAATATTATTTTTATTGGTCTCTGTTTGTTAGACAATATTACTGGCAGATGACAGCAAAATGTCATTTCACTACAATAAAACCGAGCTTTGGCAATATAACAATCTAATCAGAGTAAATGAGATTTTTCAAATGAATGTACTGTGCAGAACCAGTCATGATTAGCTTTTACGTAAGGTCGGGAATGAACCTGTAGACAGTAGGCAGATACTATTAAATGAAAAATGCCACATACATATATGCAATATCAAAATCAAATTGGATCACAAGAACAGATAGACTGACATCATTTTCAATGCCTTCAACTGGGAAGCTTTCCCTTCAGGCATAATATCCCATGCTAAGATCTTTCCACTGGAAGGCTGACACCCCCAAATTAATTAAGACTGGGATTGGTATCGAGGAAAAGCAATGCCATCGCTAATTGATTCTGGTACCTTATTTCCAGTCCCGGCGCAAGAGATGCCTAAGGCCATGGCAGCCCCGTAACGGACGTGAGGGTTGTAGCTCTCCGACAGGAGGGACACAATGCTTGAAACCTGCTCAGGAGTTCTGTAATATGGGAGGAGAAGGTCAAAAGGGACTTGTGTTAGACCATCAAAGATGGCGTGGGCAATGTGAAATGACTAGGGGTGAGGTTGAATGTAGAAGGAAAGGTGAACACAGACCCGATCTTGCGTTACCATGAAAGAAAAAAAATGCTTTCCTAGTTTCTGAGATCGAATTGATTGCTTTGCACCTTGCAAATACAATACCCACAGTAAATGCACATGTACCAAACTACTTCTTGAAAACGAGGCCTGCATGCATGTGTGCATTTGGATATGAGTAACTGATCCCCATGTCAGAGCTCAGGCGGAGAATGCCAATCTTCCATTAGTGATTTGAGGCTGTGTTTAACTACAGCATGGGTGACGATTTGGGTTAGGGAGGCAGGAAGAGAAGGGAGATTAGAAGTTTGGAGATGAGGTGTTTGTGGAGCTCTCACAAAGTTATTGGGGAGTTGGTGCCTATTCCAGATCTCAGCTTTATCTTTGTCTTGGCATGATCTAGAGTTCCAGAAATACACCTGTCACAACCAAATTAGTGTACTCAAAATGCCGGGCTTAAATAAGACAGTTTGATGTTTCTATGAGCCCCGTATGGAACCAAAAGAGGGTCACAATTTTCCTAGCAATGCAGGCTCCTTTGGTGGGAACTGCACTTCCCTGATTCACATATGACTGTGAAACGCATGCGTTACTGTTGCATTGCTGCCAAACAAATGATCACTCCCCACCAACACGGCTCTTGTCAATCGGTGAGGGGGTGCCTCTGCTCAAGGCGGAAAGGAAGGCTCAATTCAAGAGACGAAGCCAGGGTTAGGAAGGCACCAGGAGTACCCTTGTTAGAGTGGCATCCTGACCTCATCGAGTGAGGACAAGCTTTCTGTCCTCTGGGATCTCATTAGTTGCCAAGGGTTTCAACAGAAAAGAAATTTCATCCCTGGTTCTGACACAGTGTTGGCTGGAATTAAGCCTACACATACACCACATGTGATGCCTAATGTGCCTACTCGTTACAATAAAACCCACTAATTACCACAGTAGTAATTTCAACATCTGTCCTTGTTAATAATGAGCCCCAAACAGGTTATAAAAACAGTGTCTGGCCACTACAAATTTGTAAGAGCATAACTGACGTCAAACACTGACTTCAATTAAATACATCACTTGAGGATTCAAACAATCTCACAACTGATGTTTATCCATCTAATCATTCTTGTGGGCTGTCAGCAAAGCAGACTTTGGAAAGACGTGTCCGGTTGTGTTTCGTTAATGTCATAGAAGATGAAAATAATTCCTCCAGAGAGCTTTCCATTAATCTGTATCTGGATGAGAAGTGGGGGTTACAAAATGAGTCCTGAGAGATATCGATTCAGGTGGCCTGCGTGGACAGGTGGCCTGCGTGGGCAGGTGGCAATTATGGACAGAAAGCAAACATGGACAGGGGCAAACAGAATTTTGGACAGCTTTCTGAAATACACACAAGAGCTGTTGATACCCCAGCAGCACTTCTCCCTGTGAGCTAACGGTAACACACAGGAAATATGGGTGCAGGTGATTTTGTTTCTTCTTTTGGGACAGGTCGGGGGGGGGGGGATATTCCTTGTAGACAGTGAGGGTTGATGGATAAGTGTGACAGACTTGCATGTGCACAGTTTGGGTCAAGTCGCATCACCAAGCACGACACTGGCCTGGGAGTTGGTCCGTGTTGGCAGGGATGTTTCTTGGAATGCACAAGACGACAGTCAGCTGTGAGTGACTAATGAATGCTGAGTAACCATCTCCTCAGAAGACTCATCATTCCCGTGATTATGTGATTATCGGAAGGATGGCACTGACCAGTGAACAGCAGACTTGAAATAACCGGATGCAACTCAGATGCAGTCTGTACCAATTAAATAATGGAGGATTTGTTTATCTCATTTGTACTCTGTCTGATTTGGGAATGAAATTAATATTTGTGGTTTCCACAGGCTGGCTTGTATAACTCTTTTCCTTTCCTTGCTCTGCTTTCTGTTTTTGTTCAACACATACCATGTTACAGTATTTCAGAAGAAGAATTTTATTGAAGTTTGTTCAGTCAGTGTGTTGTTTGTTCTTTTCTGTCAGTTCTTCACAACTGTCGTTGACTGTTAGAAGACGTCTACAGAGGTGGGTGGGTGGAGGTGTGAGAACAGGTAGCATTTGAACTTTAAGTTTGAGTGAGTCCATGAAGCCTGCTTTCCTCTTTCCATTCCACGCTAGTAGGGTAAATCCTCCTTTTGAATCCTGATTAAAAACTTTCACAGAAATTCCTGGGGGATTGTTCACCCGGCAGAAACGAGTGTCATGTTAGACAACCTCAATAACAGACCAAACAAGCTGCACCTCTCCAAAAGCCATCAATCTGAAGGGATTGTATCTTTCATTTGTTAGTCGAGGTCTCACACTCCCAACACCCTCAGGGAGAGGAGAGAGGGGAGCTGTACCCCCCATAATCCCTGGATCTATTACAGCCCCTACAGGACCAAAGAACATGGGTGTAAGGTGCTAGGATGCGCCCATACAGCCCAGACAAGAGACTCAAGTTCCTGTTGACCATGCGCCCATTCAGAAAGAGGCAATTAATTTGGCCAGCTGGCTGGGATTTCAAGGAGAAGCAGTGCCAGTCAGGCAGTGTTCAGTCCGCTGTTTATTTTTGCTGGGGAACAGTCCTCAGGACAAAAGCTGGGCGAGTGAATGTCTTGCATTGTCTCTCTCCCAGGAAATATTTTCCTTTTTCGGAGAGTGGTGTTTCTTTTATCCTGAATCTTCCAGCTTTCATACATAGTGCAGGGAAGCAAGGTTGTTCCCTGAAGCCCTCAGCACAGTGGAGATTCTGGTACCTGTGACTGGTGTTTTCCTTTTTCCCTTGTAGTTCTACATGTAGCTCCAACTTTGAGATGGAAGTGCAGGATTTGTGTAATTCTAGAACCAGTTTCTGTCTTCAGTGGAAACTCTGAGGCAACAGTGAGTAGCATAAGATTCTCTGCAAAAAGTTTGTAACAAACTGGAATTTCAAGTGCATGTGGTGTTTCTGCCTGGTCTCACATTTGGGTTTTAGACTTTTTCCTAGCAACAAAGCAGTGTTTTCTTCCACAATGTAACGGTAAAAAAGAAAGGGTAAATGTTTACTGTGTTTTTTGATAGCAAGCTACTAAGATTTGACAAAAAACCTAAAAGGTGAAGGACTCATGATTACCCCCACCTTAATGCAAACATGAAGGAAGAAAGACACAAAGCAACAGGTCACATGACAAACACAGGAAAGAAATGAGTTGGTAGCCAGACTCTGCCAATATCTGGATCAGTGCACCCAAAACATTAACCAGTATAAATTACGTTATTGTCCCCCTCAAGAATGGTAAACTACAAGAACGAGATCTATGATCTATGATCAGTTTCCTTCCGAGCAGGTTGTTCTCAGCTTCCCCAGAGAACACTTGCTATCCTCATTAGTGTTTGGATAAAGTTCTACCCCAACATTTAATTGAGGTCATAAATGCACAAGTGAAGTGTATTATCATCCTGGCATGAGGAAGGGAACTTGTTCTGGGCATTGTTCGAATCCAGAGCATACAAGCATTAAACTGCACTGCAGTGAAGGCCGGTTACTCTGTGTACCGTGGCAGCTTGGTTACCAGGGAACATTACAGGAGTTATATGTATCTAGTTCAGGACGGTGTGCGCCGAAAAATCAAGAATCTTTACTGGTATCTGCCCTGAGTTGAAGAGCACCCACACCGGCCAAAAAAAGACAGATGGCATTAGGTTTTCCTACCAGGGTTTTGTATGCATTCGGCGTGCAAGTGAAGAC